CCAACGCGTAGTTCCTAAGCGTCGTCTTGACGAGGAACTTCTCGCTGGCTGCCAGAATTTCCTCCTTTTTCGCACGAGAGGGCAAGTGTACCCGCGGTAAAGACACGGCGGACGAGTCAACGCTGGACAGTGTCAACAGTTCCATTGTTGGCGACGATTGGAATTGCAGACGAGCAAGGGCTTATGCAAGATTACGATTCTGTAAAAATGTCATACCGGCTTTTTTTTCTCCTAGTTGTGCGAAGCGTACCCCATAGCCGACCATTTTTCAGGGCTCCAAAGTTCACGTACCGTTGGAAAATTTCAGGATAGGATCCATTTTTCTCAGGACACGCAGACATCTGGAATCCAATGAACAGGATTTTGGGGGATAAATAAAACATGTATGATTGTCTCGCTGGAACATAGAGGAGGAAAGCTGATTGTTGAATAGAAAACTCTATCGACAGAAACGTAAATATGTTAATCCCGAAGACTTTGGGAGAACTTGAGCAACGGGACGAGGCGACCTCTGTTCGAGCTGTTCCTCCCGTCTATCAGAAACTTATCCGCTTAATATTCAGCAGGGGACAGATCGGTCCGAATCTTCTGTCGTTTTCCTTTTCAACAGCAATCTTTGATGTCGATGCGACGAGTGTTGCCGTTAAGGAGTCGCAGCCCGGATTTAGGAGAACATGCCTATTTTTTTTGTCGTGGTCAATCACAGAACAGAGGGTTGGCACCCTATCGGAGCCAATGGGTGCTCGTTGAGCTAGAAATCCCATGTTGGTGGAGAACTTTCAGCTTTCAAATATTCACATTTTGCGAGTTTCGCTTGTTTTCTCTCCCGCTTTCCCCCAAAATTTATACTTTCACTAGCGCCTATGCTAACAGCACAAATTTATGCTGACTTTTTCTGTGCGTTTGGTGTATCTCTGTGATTCCCAGGGATGCATTGCATAAATTCTTTCGGGTCTTCTGCGAGGAGTCCTTTCTCGTATTCGGCACCTCTAGTATTCTGATATTCCTGAAGAGCTTGATCTCCACCCAGCACGATCCGTGGTATGATTATCGCCTATCACTAATTCGTTTTGCATCAAAGCTCATGATTTCTTCTCGCGAAACCTTCCCGCGCGCGTTATTGAAGGGGCGCCAACCCTTCTGGCGGGGTTCGTCTCCAGCGGCGAGAGCGCAGCTTGCACTTTGACTCTGGATTCTGACACTCATACTATTGACTTTGCGCAGACCTCGACGTAATTCTGCTGATAGTCCGTGAAGGTGTTCCAGTCGTTTCCTGCCCGATAACAACAGCACACGTTACCGGTGCGGTAAACAAGACGAGACAACAAATCGTCTTCCTAGATCGATGTTACGGCTAGGGTCGAACCTGGGATCGTGGGTGCGATCGCCGCCGGATGATATTTCTTACTGGATCGAATCATCAAGGGAAAACTGCTTTTTCTTTCGAACAAGTTCAAGAACAACTCCCCCGTCATGGTCCGCTCCGACGCTAGATGCTGATGGTTCAACACTTTCTATGCATTATCCTTTTTCGCCCAAGACCACAGAAAATCTGAGCGTTCGGCTCGAACGGCGCCAGAGAAAATTGAATACTGATGGTTGCGCTTAGCTCATTCCACCCCTGAGCTTCGGTGCAATATCGACGCAGGCGCTCTTGACGCGAGAGGAAGTTCAGAAAACGTGCTCGCTATCAGAAGACGTGCTGCCCCCATTCCGGCGGATGCTAGGGCTATCGGTTCTCTTATCTGTTTGTTTCGACGACGGCTGAGTAATTGTCTACGTTTTTTCCCGTAGTCTTATTCTTCTTTTCCGCGACACGCGGGTCGGGTCCCGATGTCATTGGTTCTGAAACTTCTTACCGGAGGCATCTGACGTTTAGTGGTATCCCCACTCAGTCGACAAGAAAGGAAGGCTCCCATCTGCAGCGGTTTCGCAACGCTCCGATAGGTCGCAGGATACGAGATCGAGCCCGGGAATCTTCAGCCTTGGTGAAACAATAACACCAGCGGTGAACTATTAGGTGAAAGATCTCCGATTCGGTGTGATCGAAAGTAAATCGATCCGGCTTTCGGAATGATCCCGGGGCTCGAACGACCCCTCAATCCGGATCGGCGACACGAGCATCCCGTTTCTGACGAGCCGCCGGAATCGGTCCGAGCAGGGGGCAAGGTCTTCGCTGCCCGTCATTGTTATCGAGGGAATTGAAAATCGATTCTTTGGAAGTGACTCCGGTCCTCTTCCGACAAGAACAGAACCTCCGGCTCGAACCAGGTTTTGAGATCAGTCCAAGAGGGTAAAGTTCGTTTGAACGCTTCACCAATCCGTGAAGATATTAGCAACCGTTCGAACGGACCGCGTGATTCCAGTGTCGAGGCTCCTGAGTCACTTCACTTGTTCCGCTCTAGGGGAAATCGAAGACCGAACATGCCGAGTACAAAAAGCTCCTGGTCAACGAAGAAAGACGATGGACAACAATGAGGAAGACTAGAGTTCCTCAAGTCAGCCCGCGCTATTCGGTCAAGCATGTTTCTGGAAGCGACACGGCTTATATATTTATACTTGTGCCTTCTCTTCGGAGCCGTGGGAGGAGAAACTGGACTCAGAATTGGGACAGAACCCATGCGTCTCCGCATAGCAATCAAGACGAATGGACGTTAACTGCTACTCAGCGTCGACAGACGACACAATGGATCATGTTCTAGCAATGAAATTTCGTGTCCCATCTGGTCGTCTGAGCCCGGATATATCTCTGTCACCCGACGGACTCGGCGATGTGGAAACCATCCGCTCCATGAGCGACTTAGTGAAACAGCTCAACGAATGGATCGATCGTGAATGATCATCGGAGTGGAGAGTCTCTGACTTTTTCGACCGCAGCACAGGAAACCGAAAGACGCGCGGCAGGGGAATCTCGTCCATATTCATGATATCTCCTCCGAGGCGTGGAATCAGACTTCGACGAGATTGTAACTGACCAGCTCGGCTTGTCGTCCTCAATTTAGAAGCGATTTCCGCTCCGTCCTCTGAACCTGATCGGAACCGACAATGTCTTCTATCCACGAGATCGAGAGAATGTCGTCGACGCTGATCGTATTCAAGTATTGGCTTCTCCTGGTAGGTTCGAAATGGCACGATGGACGACGTTGATCTCAGCTCGGATCAACTGGAGAAAAAACAACGAGGGTCCACCGAATGAAAACCGGAAAGAGAACTTCAGCGGAGCCCGCACATCATCAGATCGATCATCATGCGCGCTTCACCGAGATGGGTGCGTCGAGCATGTTCAAGACATGTGTTCACTGGTCATGGGGGGGGGGGGCGCAAATCGAGGAGATCATCGAAGAGCTCGAAAGATGCGGCGTTTTCTTCGAGCGGAGTTCGCGCCGTTTTGCATCGCTCGATTTCGCAGTTTTCGACTGCGCATGACATCCTGTGAGAATGATATGCGCTTCAGCTGCTGCAGAGCGCGGAAGCGTTGACAAAAAGTCTCCTCGTTTCGGAGAATCCGAGACTCCGCAATATGACAGGGGGCTGCTGCACACTAAACAGGAAAACAGGGGAAGACGAGATCAATTCTAAATTACAGTTTTGCATTAAAGCTATCGGGAATGATGGAAGCACAAGGAAAGCGGCTGGGAGCTTTTCCGCCTCGGAGTTTCTAAAGTACAGCTGTCGATTTGATGTTGTCAATCGGAAATCAGAAGCAAAGTCGAAAAGATCCGGTTTCGTCATGAGCATTCGGCGGCCGTGGGGATGTTGTCTTTCGACAGAAGTCTCCCTTCGGGTATTCGTCAAGCATGGATCGGAAGGAAGGGTATGTTCAAAGAAATCCGTAATTGTTATTTTCCACCCTGTCAGCGGCGACCTTCTCAAACGGTAGTTTCTGTCGTCTTATCCGTCGGAGCGACAGTGTTTCCTCGTCGGCTCCCTCGATCGACCTCATGCTCCCTACAGACATCTTCGGGACTTCCGCTCCCAGTGGTCGGCGGCCCAGTCCAGACCACTGGAACCGGTAAAGTTTTGCCGAAAACCCGAGTCCGACCCTCCGATTTCGCCTCGAAACGCTGATGATGGAGCGAGACCGAATCGCTCTTTTCTCTCTGTCAGAGCTCCACGATTCGCGGAATCTGATGTTTTTCTATGGATTCGTACTCCTCCCGAATCCGTCACAGACAAACAGTCTCGGTGTGCAAATGGGCTGAACGGGGAGATTTCACCTATAGGTTCAGCTCTCTCAGAGCTCGTATCTCACTCGCCTGATTTCGCGAGACGACATGACCAGACGGCAAGAGACTCAGCAGTGCTCGTGAGAAGGAAGTCGAGAAACTCCAAGCGGACCAGAACCGAGATCCGGCTGCTCTTCACCGGGCTCCGGAAACGCGCGCGCGATCCGTATCCGTTTGCAAGTTCTCGATAGCATCGAGTCACCGTAAGGGTGTCCACGATCCGATCGGGGGACCTCTCTGTTCTCGGACATGCATCGACTTCAGTTTTTCCGAGACGATGCAATGCCCGAATCAGGAATCAGCTTCCGGCACCGTGAAGACTGCGGAGCGCGGGCGGCTCGCGTAGGAAACGACAAAGAACGACAGTGGCCACAGGCTCGCATGCGAAGCCCTCGATCCCATGAGGCATGAGATCCCACCGACTCAAGATGCGGCGGCCTCTGGCTTGATATCTCTGAGTCGGCCGCGGTAGGCTGCTGGTGGCTCTGTTTGTTTGTTTGTCTAAACATCGATCGGGGCTGCCCCGGCGATGATCGCGTTCGTGGTCTCCGCACTCTCAGAGCTGACCATTGGGGTTCTGACGAGGTGATCAGTGCTTTGAGATTATTCTTAGTCTCGGGTGATCTTCGACCGATTTTCGGCTCAGGGTGCTGCAGTGGCCGTCGACATTGTCCCAGCGACTTCTTCTGCAGCGTCTCCTTTCCTATATTGCGCCCTTTCTCTCTTTGGCGCGCTTCTCATAAAAGAATCCCAGAAGTGTCCATCGCTGAAGATTGAGATAGGAGCCACTTTTTGACTAACTCCATCAGTGGGGTCTCCTAGCCCGGAGAGAAAGTTTCCCGTTTGTGAGCTTGCCGGTGTGGGTTCTGTTGCTTGTGGTAATAGCTGTGTTGTGAAGTAGTCGTTAGGACGACGCTCGAGCGACCATGATTACGCCGGAGGAAAACACGATCCCCCTTCATCCGGTGGAGATGTGGAACAAACTGATGGGTCTGCGCGATCCTCGAACCGTCGATTGGGTGACGCTTTCAGACCCGAAATACATCATCGTTACGCTCGGACTCTACCTGTATATCTCGAAGATCGCCGGACCGCGCTACATGGCCGACAAGAAGCCGTACGACCTCAGGCGGACCATTCAGCTGTACAACATTTTCCAAGTTGTGGCCAACGTGTACTTCTGCTCGAAAATTGCCTACCATGCGTTCGTCAAGTCCGGCTATTCGGGCTACTGCCAAGGGCTCACCTACGCCGCGGATTATCACTCGATGCAGGTACTCGACAATCTCTACTATTACCTCCTCGTTCGTATTATCGATTTCCTCGACACAATGTTCTTCGTCCTCAAGAAGAAATTCACTCACATCACCCAATTGCACGTAATCCATCACACGATCGTCGTGTTCTCGGGCTGGCAGTTCATGAAGTTCGGCGGAGACGGTCAAGTCGTCGTAGGCGTGTGTCTGAACTCGATGGTGCACATCGTTATGTATAGTTATTACTTCCTCTCGTCGCTCGGACCAGAGGTACAGAAGTACTTGTGGTGGAAGAAGTACTTGACGACGTTCCAGATTATTCAGTTTTTCATCATGATCGCGCACACCTCGATACCGCTCTTCGTCGAGTGCGGTTATCCCCGAGTTCTTATGATGCTCGTGATACCCCAGGTCTGTCTGATTCTCGGTCTTTTCGTGAACTTCTACATACAGAGCTACATCAAGAAGAACCGTCGTCCAGTCCACATGGCTAATGGTTCTTCTATGGAAAAGAAGATCGAACTCAAATCGCATTGAGTTCCTCGAGAGAACCACGAACGGGAAGCTGTTCGAACGAAGCTCATGTGCGGTTCCGAACCGTCGGATCGTTGTTGAATTCGTGGAATGAGGATGATGGGTTGCAGTGTGAAGGGTATCGATAAGCTTTTGTTCGAAGGAGAATTATTACGTTGTTAAATAATCACTACCCGAGGAACGATTCGACAAGTCGAAGGAGGATCATTCAGCAACGTAGGACTACCGCCCGCTCTGTTAATGTCATACTCATTGTCAGGACTCCGGCAGAATTCGCCGCCTCATCTCCATAAGAAGTGTATATAAACTTTGCATATTTAAGTTAGAAATGAATAAACACATGAACAATACTCCGGCGTCTCGACGTTCCACGACGCCATTTCTACATATGGATTTAATTTGTATAAATCGCCGTGTTGAATACCACGATACCACGAGTCTTCAGTTATTCTCTGAGCGGCCTCTGCCGGTAAATACCGCAAGCACGAGCGAAAGCGAAGACGATGCTAATCTACGCGATCACATATCACGTCAGAAATGATTTTCGCTCAAGTTTGTCCCAATCAAAAACGACGCTCCAATATCCGCCGAAGAGAGACCTTCCACTCGAGCCCATTATGTGATCGTTCCAGGAAAGCTCTGGCTGTTTTTCAGAATTTCAATGAGCCCCTCTAGCGTTCTGGGGATGCTGACGCAGGCGAGCGTTAGGCAACTAGGTCAGAGCTTCAAATGCGACGGTGAGCGCGATTCTCGTAGGAGGTAACGTGATTCAAAACGATTCACGAATTTCGTCATTTCCAGTATCACTTTCACCGATCAGCTTCCGAATTTTCTGCTCACAAAACTGTCAGACCTCAAGTAGGTACGACGCGACGTGCGACGAGCGTCGAAAGTCTGAAAGTGTGAATAGAAAGCGACATGAATCGGGATGAGACGAAACATGCCCGATAATAATGCATTCAGAGAGTAGGTAAAATTTATGATTCACTGAGGGGCAACTCTTCTGAGAGAAATAAGCTGGAGTAAACTGATCCGAGCGCTTATCACAAACTACAAATTCTCATTGCGGACTTGCTCAGCCCAGTGCTGACTCGCACAGGTTGAGCATGAAATGAAACGAAGTTCCCCGCGAGATCGGGGCAGAAATCTCCCCTATCTAAAGTGAAAAATTCCAATACTATGTATGGAACAAGTTTCACTGGCCCGTGGCCAGACCCTTTACCCTGCTGGGCTTCAAATTCTCCAAGAACCTATCAGCTGACCCTCTGCTCTATCTCGACAGACCGAGGGATTGATTGAGGGGAGGATGCCCAAGGAGCTTATAGATTTGCCTTCCTCCCAAACCATCTTTCCGTGGGGATGAGTCGACAGATGGAGCACCTTTAATTGCGGGGTCTCCTCGGTGGGTTCATTCATTTCAGAACATTTCCTCCTGGTTGAGTTCTTCTCATGCGACGCTCAAGTTTCCACCTAGCTTGAAGCGCTCTCCTCCGCAGGGAGTTCTCAAAGGCAGGGGTTCTTAACCTTTTTTGCCCTAACAGGGTTCCGCGGAACCCTTATTATTGGTTTCGGGCTCTATCTTTCCAAACTTTCCCCTTGATCACCTTAAAACCTTCGACCACGATCGCATAAAGTATCCTGCATGCATTCTAGCTTAGAAAACTCATTCCAATTCGACAAAATGAATAAAAGTCTGAGCAGCCGAGCAGGGGCTCGCGGAACCCTAGGGTTCCGCGGAACCCAGGTTAAGAAGCGCTGCTCTAAGTTCTCCTTCCCATGAATCACGGTTCCGTATCGTGAGGAACATCTGTCCTGCAAGAGTCCGGGTCTTTCGGAAAAATCATCGGAGGAAGAGCTTCGCTGGCAAGGTTCAATCTCGCCTAACTTGGCATTCTCGTTGGCTCGTTTGACACCGGAGAAAAAGTGGACAACGACAAGCAGATAGCAGTGAGTAGAAGACATGGAACACGGTCCGCTTCAATCGGAATTATCTTATCTCTCCGTCAGAAGAAAGTATGCAGATCCATCCAGATCAGAGCAGTTCACGTTTTTTCCTACACTTTCTGAGCTAGCTATTCGGTAATGGACCCAGGGAGCTAATTTTCGGAAGATAGCAATTTAACAACTCTGAATGGAAGTCGGAGGCCGGGAGGGAGTGTCTCCTCGAAGATTCCCACATTTAGGGAGTACAGAGTTCCTGTGATTAGCGAGACAGCTTGAGGCGATGAGCCGAGTGTCGAGTATTGATCAAACGAGATCCCGAACCCTCCCTGTGATTTCGTCAATTCCTCTCTGGCGGAGGACATGGCCGGCGCTGTAGTCCGAAGGCGAAATAAATCTTTGAGTGGATATCTCAACTACGAATACCGTAAGAGCCCCCAGCTGTACTCTGTCGATAGTCGACTCCCGTTCCCGTGGTCCGAGGATAAGCTTCCGGGATAAAACTCTATTTTACACTTCACTGAGCACGGAGCAGCGAGTGAGGAACAGATAGAGAGGAATGGAAAGTCGGAGGGTGGGCAGGCGAATTGGACAACACGGGGTGAAGCCGCTGGGCGTTTTCCTTGCACTCATATAGGATACGGAATTTTTAACAGGAGCGAATGCGATGTACTCTCTCATAGTTCGCCCGGTCACATCTATTGTTTGTCAGGCTTCATTTGCATACGTGTCGTGAGCTCCTTCACCTCAACGGCTCGTCGGTCGGGATCGCTTTCTGTGGCGCCAGCGAGTATTCTGCATGGAGCATATCGGATTCGGTCTAAGAATCCGCTCCGCCGCAGAAGTCGCTCAGAATAGCAGACTTCTTTGGGCAGAATCGAAAAAGAGATGCTCTCAGGATGCACAAGGGACTAGTCCCTGATCCGTTATGCCACTACCGTCACCGAAGTTTCACCCACGGGGCTCAGATCCGAGATAGGACGACAGAGCTCTAAAAAATTGTTACCCTCACGCAGCACGATGCCCGTACCAGCGACTCCCGACTCCTGAGTTTCTCCATCGGATCCAGACAGCGGCGGAGAAGTTTAGCCACGCAAGAGGACACAACAATCAAGTTGTTCCGCGAGACCCGACACTTAACTTAGGAGACTGTGTCACATCGTGGACGTAGAGAACTTGAAGAGTATCATTAATCGTGCTGGCCGCGTTGGCAAGTTTCCCCGACCGCTCAAGAGAGACTCCGAAAGAGCGGATGGGACCAAACTGATAAAGCGATAGGAGAGCATTCCTCCTACACATGTTTTAGCATTATTCGAAATTTTCTCGGAGCGGGATTCTATTCTGTACGGATGCAGATCACAGGAAATCGGTCTGATTGAAAAGTCGAGTAATCGCTATCGATTGTGACGTGATCAATAAACATCACCGACTACGAGATGCCACGACCGATGAACTTGTCTTTTCGGATCGGGACAAACAAGTTGTGTGAGTCGTCCGTCGTCCTTCCCTAGCTATCGCTCGATAATTTCCGAGACTCGGATGAGTGATGTTAGCTATCAGCTTGAAGAAAGCGTCGTCGTTTCCAGATAGCCCATGGCCTGACCCGCCGTTATGCTCCGCAGCAAGCGAATGTCGGAAGCGGACTTGGTCGCAATCGAATAATTTCATGAATCAGGAGAGGCTAGGACATTTCGATACCGAGACGTCCAACTGCCCTGGTAATAAATCAGCCACAGGTGGCGATGTTCTGAGAAAGAGGGACATTTGTATATTCGCCTATGGAGATATTGACGGATGAAAGACAGATTCCATATCAAAGAGGTTTCTCAGGTCCACGCGCTGGAGAAACGGAAATCAACTACCGAGCTATGTCGTAGAGATCATTCTGTACGCAGAGCGGAAATGTAAGGTGGCACCCCTTGTCGATCGAGCTCGTACACCTAGGTACTTGATCTATCACTTGAGAAACGGAAAAAGAGCAACGATATCCCTCACTCGGCGTGTCGAGCATCTCAATACTCGTCCCGAGCCACGCTTGGAACTGAATGCTCTCACGCACGAATCACCGTGAGAGAAACTCCGGGAGCATACGCAATATCACTTCCCCGAGCCGATTAGGAACATTTCTGTCGCCAACGCAGTATGCAGCTCCCGGATTCCACGCGACGGTTGAGCTCTTGGCTTATGCTTCCAGACGCTGCCTCGATTGACGTCACGCTGCTTCGAGGAAACTCAAACAGACGCCGAGAACGTCACCTCCCTTAAGCGTTCTGGGAAAGTAAACAATTGAAGAAAATGAGGAGAGTCTCCTGTTGGCCGACGCTGGGTTCTGCCGTTGACCCGTGTCATCAGTAGCAGGATAGCGGGCTAATGGGCAGATTTGCAGGGACGGAATTGTGCGATACAGCCGTCCGCCGAGGATCTGCATTCGTAGTTCGGACGGTCGCGTCGTGCGAACACAAGCGAAATTCAACTCTCTGTAAGGACAGCTTCGCCCAGGCCGACAACGAGACGTCGAAATCCAGACATCCGACCTTCCATTAGTCCGAGTAATTATTCACGCCGCGATCGACTCCGTCTCGTAGCGCTGCGCCACGGGCTTCCCACGTTCTCGAGAATAGACCTCGAAACGGCGATCACTATACCTACTCTCATTATTATTCATATGAATGATGGGAAATCCCTTTTCACGGGTCTCGATTTCTCTATGAGACGACTGAATTAAGGAGAAAACCTTGATGTCATATCAATAATAATAATTGATCGATTCTTCCCGGGATTCTGGCTACATCGAATCGGAGAGTCGAGATCTAGATAATTCATTCAGTTTTTGATGCTGCCGCGGTGGCTCACATTTTCTCCTATTTCGGGGCTGAACAAGGCGATGCATAGCCCATGTCGGGAACTGCGACCACAACTTACAAAGCCACTGCTCATTCCGACGATGGATCAATGGGCTGCGGTGAACTGTTTTGAACACCCTCCAATTGGGCCGAGAGCACATTCGAGGTCGTGAGAGCTAGAAAATTTTCGCAGTTCGCCGACATCATCAAAGGGTGATGAAGGATGAGGCTCGAGTGATGAACGAGAAATGGATTCATTCGGAGAACCCCACTGAAGACTAGATGATCACGTCGGTAGGGGGGAGAGGGGTGACCAGAATGAACATTCCCCTACACGGTCGACTGTTCCGCTTAGGCTTGTTCATAGTATTGTATCACAATATTCCGACACTACCCGGCAGATCGAAGTAAAGCGTGTCGATTGGAAACATCAGGGTAGCGCGCAGCGGTATTCGTTTCTCCTTTGCGCGTCTGGGGAGATCTCAACATGGGGAGATATTGGTTTTCGGTACATGCACTGATTGCGATACGGGCCACCATTCGGATCATTTATGACCGAAGACTGTTATCTGATACCACCTTCTATATCTTAATAAGTCCTCTGGTCAAGATGAGACTCCAGACTCCACTATATCCCGAGAATCCATGGTCAGGTTTTTATTGGATCGATTCTTCTTCGGATTCTGCTTCGCTCCACAGGAAACGGGTTCGACCTAATTATCGGCCCCGAATGAAGGGGGCGAAATCCGCTGCCTCGAAAGTTGTAACCGAAGCACTGGATCTTCTTTGACGTTCCGAAATTAATCAATCCATCACAGACATCCGTGTATGAGGCAGGTTCAGGCCCGGCCGCCCCAGCTCAGGTTTGATTGATGGCTTCGGCCTCTCTGTCCTCCTTCAACGCAAACCCAGATATAACAATTACGAGTGCCTGTCCCACTGGCTACTGTTAGCAAAAGCAGGCTCTCCTGTTCCATGACACATGGAAACAGACCTCTGTGAGCGTGATGATTCAAATTACAGAAACGCTAACTCTCAGGAGAGACTGCGTGGTGCCGAGCGCCGAGCCACGTGTTAGGATCATGGCCAGGGGAGAGGGCCCACGTGATGACGAGACTAATTGTAAGTATCAACGGCGATCGTCTCCATTTTGACTACCTTCATATGCAACGGCCAGAGCTTTCAGGTTCCCGGTCGACGGCAACGATAACGTGCGTCTCGTCTTTCCGAAGGCATATGTAGTTGTTCTAGGTATGTCAGATTCGATTGGCTTTGGGGTGTTCGTCTCTCGAAAATCACGGGCTAATTGAAGCCGGGAAGAGCCGGGATGTTGATCATGGTCTCGATTCCGTGCACTTTCCCACGTGGAATATCAGACGACGATCATTCAGGGACCCATGGCGTTTCGAGCGGCCGGATCGGAAAGTACGGAGTCCTCCGGAAGACAGTGCACTAGAGACGTTGCTTGGCTCCCGCGGTATGATATCCGTCCAAAGGCGTCCTCTCAGGGATCAAGGCGAGATCCACGACCCTAGTCAGTTTTGCAACCAGTTTTATGATGCGGACGAAAGTTTACGACCCCTGCTTTTTGAATGCGAGTGGTACATAGATGCCGCGGCGCGGCACCGGCGTGGCTTCGACGTCCTTAAGTGACCTTCGTCTCTCCATAGTAAGGGGTTTTTCAGAGAGGGGCCGAAGCAGATGTCATAAAAAATCATCGCTCCCATGAGAAACTTCTCGGCAATCGTTCCACAAACCAATCTTCGAAAATCTCCCTCAATCCGTCCGAAACGTCAATATCGGAGAAGAGGAAAATAAGGGAAATGATTCATACGGGAGACTGGAAGAATGTCAGTACTCTTGTGGAGAGCCCTATCTAGCACAATGGTGATAGCTGGGAAACGGGGAGCGAAATCAAAAGGGTTTCCATCTGGAATCTCGGAGGCTGCGATGGAAGCCATGGACACTAGCGAAACTAAGATATTGTTTTATTCACTCTGGAACTCTCAATAAATAAGATTTTTACAAGGACACAACTGCTCGGACGTGGTTCTGTACTCCCAGGAGTGCTCGAGCGGAATCACGAGGGCTGGCATCACTCATCGTGAGCCTCTCGACAATCTCCCGGGCAGGATTTCTCCAAATCATCGCTATCTTCATATTTACATCCACACCAAATGCAGTAAAAGTACTGGAACCTCAAGTGATGCGTCAAATCTCGAAGCACTTCACTCTCATCTGCTGGTTCGTCGTCATTCGGGCTATCGTCATCGTTGACATCAGAAGATTCTTGATCGTCATCCTCCTCCGGCTGTGGCGGCCAGAAATGTTTCTTTTTCGGTCTGGTGAGACCTGCAATGTGAGGATATGCAGAGGGTCTTAAACTAGAATCGACAATCTTTGCAGAAAAATTGCAGCTCCCGATCAGGGAAAATTCATCCGACCTAATTCGAGTTCGAGCTGCCGGCAAGCACGTTGACTCTTCTGTACATCGCCGCGCAAAGCTCGGTCGTCGTATTGGCTCTGTTTATCTTTGCGGAAGTTTTTGGCCATTTTCGAGCAGTCCCTTTTCGAAGCCTCTTCGAGGTGCTTCTGTAGTCGCTCCTTCGCAGATTCTTCTTTCTTCGCAGCCATACCGAGACCCCCTCTACCGTCTGTTTTCATTTTGACCTCGATGGGGGCGACAAGCGCAGGCTCCGGAGAACTTGTGCTTTGAGTTCCGAGGGACATGCCCGGTTTGAATCCCATCTTCGAAAGTAGAGCGAACCCTATTGGAAGAAGATCAGTGTTGGCGTCGATGGAGGAGAATATTGAAAATGATGATAATATCCGAGCTCCTTCCGATGGATATCGACGCTCAGACTATTTCGATATCTAGACTGACCTTTGTTCGATTCATCAATGGGCTTGCTCAAGCCCTCTTTGCGTTGCTCTTCCTCTAGAACGTGACGCTTCTTGAATCGATTCAGACGATTTAACTCTGCTTTCCGTTTGGACACCTGGGGGAACCGGGGTATGGGTGAAGCTGTCGATAATTTTCTCCTGAGGGGAGGATATTTTGAGGAGCATGGATATACTGCAGAACTTACTTGAAATTCACGCTCCTGATTCTTTTTCATGGGAACACCTGGTCGCACATCCTCGATTTTTTGCAGAATTTTGTCGCTCATGTAATCATCCTCCTCATCTTCACTTGCCATGTTGACTTCCTGTAATGAAATTTTCGTGAGTACTCCGCACTGGAGATCCACGGCACTAACAATGATTGTGAGGGATCCTCATTCTTCCTAGAGAGTTGATTCTCGAGACGGACGTTGTCTAAATGCGCTCAAAGTCTTTCTGCGCCAGTGACTTTACGCGCTTCCGACTGAAGGCGCTTGCGTCAAGAGCGCTCATGCTTTTTTTAAGGCGGAAGCGCATAAAATCATGGGCGCAGAAAGACTTCGAACGCATTTAGGGTACGTGACACTCTTCGAGTTCATGCGCTCTTAGTCTCGATACATGAACTTGTTCGATCATTGCCACGGTACGCAACTGAGCCACGGATATTCGTGAGGGCTCCACCGGGCAGTTTCAGTCAAGGAAACATACCTGATAGGACTGCTGTCAAGGAAGAGCCGGGCTCCGAGTATCGCGTTCGATTCGAAGCCCCTGTCTCGTTTGTAAACATTGCCAGAGAGAGGGTCACGAATTCCCTCTCCCTCCTCGATGAAGCGCTCCCATCTTTGGCTAATCTGACAGCCCGCCAGCCCGGCTCGAGATGGTACTTACGGACGCCGCGCCGCATCTGAGCCCGGGACTCCGAATCGATTTTTCGGGTGTTGGAAAGTCTGCCGTACGAACCCGATATGCTATAAGGGAGAATCGAAAGCCCAGTCTCAGCCAACGAAAAAGCATTCTGTTCCACATTATTCGTTGCTCTTCCATTTTGACTTTATGGGGGATCGAAAGCTCCCCATCGATGCTAGAACCTCTTCCCGGTGGATACAATTCTTTTCCCGCCAAGAGAGCTGCGTAGAAACTATGGAGAAACTCATCGGGCGACTGAAGGAATCTCACTCTCTTTGATCCTCGCACGCTTCGTCGGCGTTCCTGTGCGAGCTGCCAGACAAGCCAGGTACGCAAGCTCGAGATCGTGCGCAACTTCCACGCTAGAACTCCTCTGGATTTTCCCTAAGAGGTCTGTTTACGCAACTTCGTAATAAATGAGTCAGACCCTCCCGAGGAGCCTGAATAGGAGATTAGAAATCATGTGAGTCGTGAATGAGCTCTGTAGAGCAGAGGTTCCCAAAGTGGGTTCCGCGGAACCCTTGGGGTTCCATCGCTCTTTTCCGGGGGTTCCGTGACAAAATCTTTGCGGAACCCCAGTGTTCAGTGGGCTGCTCTTTGCGCGAATCGGGGTTCCGCGACGATTTTCTGCTTCCATATGTACGGTCATATACGGGCCCTAGGTGACGTAGCCCTGTGGGCAACTTCTTTTCCTGACTCCAAATGTCTTCCTCAATACGAAGGGGATCGTTCTAATTGGCGCATCGATCGGCATCGAATGCACACTGCGAAGGTCCTTGCACAAGGCACGTTCCCACTAGATGAGAATTCCTAATTTACACAAGAATTGACTTAAGCAATAAACATTCGGGTCTGCTCCGGAACAAACGAGTGGTTTTTCCTCTAATAGCTGCAAGGAAAGAGCAATTGACAGGACTTTGAATTTTTCGAAAAATGAGGACGGGTTCCACGGAACACTAGGGGTTCCGCGAAGGGTTCCGCCGAAGAAAAAGTTTGGGAACCTCTGCTGTAGAGCATGGTCACCGAGCTCGTGATAATCGCAGGCACCGTGATCCGAGCAAGGAGGAAGAGCAGGAAACTCGAAGGTCTGAATCGATCGTCTCCTCCTTTTATTCGTTCATGGACCCCGGCTCGGAAGTTGACCCGAAGCTTTCTCGAGATTAAGCTGCCTGAAACTTCTTCGAGAACAACCCTTATCAGCTTCTGGAATCCCGAACATGAAACACGTGCGAGAAAACGATGATTCACTGATTTCCCGAAAGTAACTCATGAGTGAATATATATTATTATAGTATCGAGCTGATGATGTGGAACGTGTATAAATTTATGGAGTGAATTCTTGCAGATTCACCCTTTTGACTTCCAGTACACACTTGAGCGGACCTCTTAGAGAACTGGAACTGCTTCCGGAAGATGAAAGTCGAACAAATTCGAAATAGAAACAGAGTGTCTTTGCGATCACAGATCGCGCATGGCGAGGAAAAGTTGAGCTCCGCCATGCTCAAGTCTCATCGATCGGGATTGGCACGAGACGGACCTCTACCTCCGCAGTGTTAAACGATTTACAAGTAGCCACAAGTCTCAGCACTCCTATCGCCTGAACTTCCTCCTGAGCAACAAAATGTTCCACTCCCAGAGGGACACATCTGAGCGGGGAACTGGTACACAGAGAGACAGAGAATCATGACTCGCTATTCCGGATGTACGCCGACACGGCGTGAGTCCACACTATGACTCCATAGCTCAGATTCTCCGCCTAGGGCTCCACGGCTACAGTTAGATGGTATGGCTGGTCATGGAAACTCCGACGGCGATGATCAATCCTGGAGCTAAGCATTTAAAAACTGCTCCTTCCTTCCTAGATTCCTCCAATCATCTAACATGCTACGAATGATCACATCTCTCCTCAGTCCTGGAGTTTGTACTATGACGACTTGCCCGCCATCTGCGCTATTTTCCCAAAAAAATGATTCGTCAATCTTGTACGATGATGCTCCATGGTCAATTATTCAAGCCTGGTATCATCAAGCGAACACTTCTTAATGGAACCATTCTTTCATTTCGTCCCCAAGTCCGTTTTGGATTATTTGAGTTCACGTCCGCTTGATTTCTCGAGATTCTGCAAGATTGGCGAAGCATCTAAAATAGATCAAAATTGCCACCGGAATTACGTATCCGAAAAAATACAGGTTGGCGTAAAACCTGACGATTTCCGGCATCGAAATCATCATGAAAGCGACGCCCATGTACGCGAAAGCGAGGAATTTCAATTGAGCGAATGCGATCTTGCCGAGCGTGGTGGTCGGCATCGGGAAGAGAGGGTTTTTAGAAAAATACTCCAGGAGATGACTCTCCGCAGATGCGTAGAGTACTGTCGAGATGAGACATACGTAGTACCCGGGACGAATCCCTGGAATCGGTGATTAAGTTTGAATTTTCTCGATGAGCTGGTTATATGGCATATCGGACTGCTCAAAGAGACGGTCGCGGCAGGAAAGTTCTCCCGGCTCGACGAGGAACACCTACCATGCCAGAAGGCGCTGACCATCATGGTGACGACCATTCGAATCCATCGCGGAGCCGGCAATTTCTTGTAGCAGTTCACTGCCAACCAATACTGCACCGTTTGATTCCAGGCTCGCACCGTTTCCTTGACAGTCGGTGCGGTTTCACACTCCCGGAAATCGAGATTCTGTACCTGAAATGATCGAGCGGAGAAGGTCGATACGACACATATTCGTCTCGTCGCGACTGTTTTCGGGAGTCGGAGATCGACAACGCGCTGCTGGTCTTGGCTCGAGCGAATCCCAACTCACGGTATTGAAATCGATGTGGTTGGGGTACATGGCCTTCTTTCTCTTCGTAGGCCCCTGCCCGCTCTTGTTCTCCCATTCGTGCGGATAAGCTCCAATTCCGGCTGCGATGCAGCCACATTCGGCAAGAACAAAGCCGGTGTACAAACGTCCGCGGAAACCCATGAACATCACGACCATGTACCTGTCGGGAAGAAGGCCGTCATGAGAAATCATGAGTCTCCCACAACTCTTCCCTTTCTCATCGAGAGTGCGAGCGGTATTTACCATAAGGTGTAGAGGAATCCGGACTCATCATGAAATTCTTGAGTTTTCGCCGCTTCTAACGGTGCGAGAACATTGGCGACGAGGAAAAAGGTGAGGAAGAGCGGCATGGAAGTGAGTTTCTCTTCGAGAAAGTGGCGTCGCTGACTGAATGTGGTCAGACAAATTCCGTCCATGAAGTCGCGGAAAGTGCGATATCTGTACAGTTCCAAAAAGCGCCACGTTAGCCTTGTGAACCTTCACGTTCGACGGATCGGATGTCCACGAACGGATTGCGCGAGAGCTCCGAAAGTGCGACTCACCGAATATATGGGCCCGCCAGCAGGCCCATGTAGGAGAACGCGTAGTAAAATATGTCGATGAGAGGAGCTTCGTGTAGGTTGTCGATCTCCAGTTGCTCGGATTCTTCGATCTCGGAGCCCAAGCCGCCCATTCGGAGTACCAACATCATCATAATCATTCTGCTGAAGTTGTTGGTGGAGACGAAGCTGTCGGAATAAATCGAAAAAAACAGTTTGATTTAATAATTAAGGGTCGTGGGGACCGAACGACGGAGGACGCTAAAAATCTCAGACGGATGTCGAGGCAGAATCGAGAGAAGTCTTCCCACTCACCGGAAGAAAAGAAGGTAACCGAAGGCGACGGCGTTTAAAGCATAGCACAGGTTGAAGGCTCTTGATCTTCGATAGATGTAGAGCACAGCGATGACGAGAAACGTCAAGGCGAATTGATGAAGTAGATCCCATCGAGAGAGGATCAAGCTCGTGTTGAGACCGATGACCGTGCAGACTATCCGCCTTTGGGAAACGTGAACCTTGTGGAGGTACAACGCTCCGAAGGCTATGTGCCCGAGCAGGAACACCAGATAGAAAACCTCCTCGATCATCTCAGCGGCTGCTGGAAAGATATGTTCCTTTCAAAGATCTGACGGCAGTCGCCGTTTCGCGAGGGAGACGTACGTAAATCGTGTAATTCCAGTCCGTTTGCGGCTCTTAGAGCCCAATCTGTGAGCACTGTGTGAATGTTCAGGAAGTGAGCACAAACAGTTCGGGGAGTGCAATGAGAGTGCATCCTATCAGGAAAAATCGATTGATCTCATTCTACGTCGATGAAAGGCACTGGAATCGGCAATGGCATGCAGGAGCGAAGGATCCCGGAATTCCTGGGTCGGAATTGTCGAATTCGTAACTCCATTGTATTGCCCGAACCGTGTCCCTTTTGGGGATAGTGCTCCGATTCCCTCCATGAAGGACTCACAGAGCGCCTCTAGAACTCCTCGGGGCGCGGAGCCCGTGCCGTGAAAGTTTTTTGAACTGAACCTTTTCGGTCATTCTCGAGTCTCAACTCACCTGCGGGGCTGGACAATGGGATGACGTTTCATCATTAGCTCGAAATGCTGGCGGTAGCTTTCCTCCAGCCGCAGCACACCTGTGTGCCACCTTTCGGCGCACTTGGAGAAGAGTACAATAAGACTACATGATTGTTGTTGATGAACTCTAGCAGACGACCTGGGCATCCCTCCTCTCGGTCAGAGAGACCGGGAACTGAGAGAGCCGGAGGGACTCCCACCTCGCACCCGCTCTAGTCCGAGAGCCCTCCGCATTCAGAGTTGAGGAAACTCGTCGCTACCGCGGCGACGCATCGGCTGAATCTGGTAGAACACGAAAAGCTCGGGGCAAAGGATCCCGATTTTATTCCTCTATGATTCAAGCTTAGAGAAAAATCGTTCACAGAGCTCCAGAGTATCGATCTCTCTAAGAATTCCGCATGAACTATCAAAAAACAGATCTCCTCAAACGGTTCCCTTGACGGAGTATCGTTCAGGTCAGCGGACGGTATGTGACTGATCCATCTCTAACCCTCCGGCTCCAACGATGGTCATCCCGAATATTTCTTGTCCGCCGCCTGGTTCGAATTGACTTTCTACGGCTCAGCCGCGATGTTGTCGCCTTTTCTCTTCTCGATTTCGTCCTCACGCGAGTCCTTTCCACCGCCCTCAGTGGCCCGTTGCATCGGACTCTGAGTATGGATAGTAGCCACGGCCGTGTTCGATTTTGGAAAATGCTCGACATTCAGGGAATCATCGAGCTTCATCCTCAACCCTTCATCGCGGTGTCTAGAAGCGATTCCGAGCCCCTTCGGTGAGGCCTCACGCACACTCTCATTGCTCTTGGATGACTCCGCATACCTCGCTGAGGCCGTGCATAAAACGTCCCGTTGTGAGACTTTGGTGATGTCCCTGAAGTTGCCACCTATGAATTCTCTCCTTATCTGATCTTCGAAAATAGTTCGCTGCTTCTTCAAGAAGTTCTCGGTTGCTTCTCGCTCTTTCCGGAGAGACTCAGTCTCGATATCATTGAGCTTCCGTAGGAATTTCTGTCGTCCCTTAAATTCCTTTTCGACAATCTTGAGCTGCTTCTCCAATTGCTTATACCTTATTTCCGCGTGTCCTTTCTTGATCCTCTGCCTTAGGCGTTCGAATCCCGTCAGCGAACCCAGTTCTATACTTTCGATTAATTGCTTCTGTTGCTTCAATTTCAGCACCAAGTCAGAGAGATGCGTCCGGAGTCTGTGGAGCATCAGATTCGTTTGAATGACGATAATTTCTTTCTGGCATATCACGTCACGCTCGCGGTCGTCTTCATCATCTCCTGTGTCGGGCCGATATGAGAAAAAGTCCACCCCCAGGTGCAAACTGTCACCTGAAAATTCGGGATATTTTCAAGTGTGAGACATCGGTAGGTATGCTTTCTTCGTTCGAATGATTCGCTTGAGTTGCGACTCGATTGCTTACCGGTGAAGCCGGACGCCTCCATCTCAATGGTGAACTCCTTCCCTTTCTGCAAGATGCCTGTTGGCGAATCTTGGTAGATTTTGGTAGATAAGACAGTGGTCGCCGGGGTTCGACCGGAATAGTACGTCGAGACGATGGGGTAGAGATAGGGTTTGGGTAGCCTCTCCTCAACGGTCCTTGAAAAGCAAGCAAATATATCATCTGGAGTTTGCAGCTAATTATGAGAAAATGCCCTCGGAAAAAGGAAATGCCCGACTCCCCTCATTCTAGAAGGAAGCGAGTTCGGACAGAAATCAATTTTCGGCCCGCGATTACTCACCTTTCAGGGGTGGAAATTCCCGAAGAAAGCTCACTGTCACATCTGGGGGCATCTTCGATCGAAGCTGACTCACAGGAATCGAAAGAATCCCGGGCCTCGCGTCTCTTCTCCATCAGGATCTTTTCTCGGAAACTTCTCGCAGGAAACTCTTCACACTATGGGAGATGCTTGCTCGAAGGGCTCTGACGCAGACTGTCGATTACCGCCTCGTCTCGTCGGATTCCGAGTCTTTCTGGGCTCCTGAGCTCTGAGCTCGAGACTTTTAGCGAGTACCGTCTCGAAATTCATCTGATGTTGATTACACCAAGTTGTCTCTTGAGGAAGTCATCGAAATGTGCCCCTCGATAATCTCGGGAGCCATATTCTATCGGATGTGGTGCTAGCCCGGAGAAGAGAGAATTCATGAGACGGAGTAATATTCTCGAGTGAATGTTTGCTCCGAGTTCGATGGAGGGTTGATTCCGATCATTTTTTTCCTCGAAACATCTCTCTTCCAGAGATGGGGATATTTCCGCGCCAAAACCCCTCCTCTGTCCCACAGGCCGCTGATGGAGCGGGTTCGGGAATACATGCAGCAAATAAAATTCGGAGGATTGATGCATGGGGGAACAGATGGAATTCCCTAGGATTCGCTGGTGCTTCTCCGACTCGCACAGTCCAGGAGCGCATGCGAACGACACGGACTCGAGCGAATTCCCCACGACCATGATGTTAATATGGAGTACACAAAATTGCCCGACATCTCGTTTTCCCACAGAAGCTTCCGCGAACAACAACGTAGCAGATTGACTCCTTTATTAGCTTTTACAGGATGCCACGCTAATGCATCGTTAAGCAGATTAAGAGGGGAAAAAAAGAACTAACCCATCGCCGAATTTGTGACACGGTCCCGCCGAAACAGAAAGGAAATCCTCCCTGAAGCCTAAATCGACGTTCGAGATTCTTGCTCGTCCCCGGCAGCCGCCATACCTACACTGTTCCGGGGCGAAAGTGTCGAATAGACGATTTGAGTCCTCGGCGACTGAGCTTCTCCCTTGTATTCGAGGAGCGCTCCCGTGAATTGAAATTGCTGCACGAAATCGGAGACGTCTTCTTCGACGTGACGGAGCAGTGTAGTCCCCGGCGCGTCTTGAAATCGAAGGAAGACTTCCATTAAGACGCGAACACAAAAGGGTCAATCATTTTGACCAAAGCGTGGGTATGGTGGACAGTTAGAGGTTTTCGAGAACGTCGTCAGAATGAACGCGGACCGGCTTTCACTTGGAGGAATTCCCATCATAACTGACTTGCCCTACTTTTCCCTAACAAGAGATTAATGCGAGCCTATGTCGTCGTTGGAGTCGTGGCTCGAGAGCGGCCCGGACACAAGCCTTGTAAGTCGAATAAGTCGTGGGATGGGAGTCGCCACTACACCTTTTCCTTCTTACAACGTTACCCTCGTACCGGTCGTCCCGGAGCCACCTTTCTCAGTCCGACATCCCTCGTCCTGTGGCTCTCTTCCTCTCCGGCCCTCGCTCATGGTCAGACTCGCTTTCTTTTGTGTTTGTCTCTCATTTTCGGGATGCAATACTGACAAGCAGCAAGTCCCCCTCGATCCATAGCTGCACGATAATCCCGCCCGCTCGCCCACCTGAACATCGGCGCTCGGTCGTCCGCTCGCTCCCATCGGGCGAGTCCGACTGAGGGGAGTGTGGGACAGCGACGATGATGTCGGTAAACAAGTATGTTGTGGTTGTCATCCCCGTCTGGTTACCATCCTCCTCCTCGCCGTCGTCGTCGTCGTTTTCGTCATTTGCCAATTTGAATTTGAATAGCGATCGGTCAGTGTTGATTTTGGCGGACAATCGAATTCTCCCACAGCGGCTGATTCCTCCACATGGGAAAGCCGGTGGATCTTCAATAGATCTCCGGTACAGAACAATTTTCCCATCGATTCTGCTGTATCTGGCATATTTTCGTTACTGTGTTGCGTCATAGGTTTAATGGTTTCAGTTAGAAAGCACTTCTGAGGGAGCCTCGCCAAGAGACATCGGATTAATCTCGGTGTTTCGCATAATCTGTCTCGTACCCAATCGTTCGGCTTCCATTCGCGTATGACGTCGGCGTCGGTTGTGGAAGCGCTTGATGAAAAGGGATGCGACGACGACAGCCGTTTCGAACAGGGCTCCGAAAATAGTTCGAGAACTCTGGATCAATAAACGTCTGGCGGCGGATCGCCGGTCACCGTTGACGTGGGGACCCACGAACGAGATTCAATGTTCTCTTTCTATCAGAAGGACTATCTGCTCTGAAATTGTAATTTTACGCCCGAGAGTAATTCTCAGGAGGTATACGGGACCGGCCGAGCGGCGACGCAGACAGAGCAATAAGCTTCTGATTGTCGCAAATTGCAACTTGATCCATTATTACAAATATCGCTCCACTGTCTCGGCTCCGACGGAGGAGCATCCGCCAATATCAGGTGCTGAAATTGAACCAGGCGCTGGACACACGACTAAGGTCTTGCCAGGTGAATTGCTTTGTCCGTTCGGATGGCTTTCGCTCTCATTCTTCTCCTATTTCGACGAATCAGCTGAGATTCGATCACCCTAATAAAATAGAGACGCTCGGGACTTGAGGGAAATTCGAAAGAGTCGAATGCTTTCGGCGTCTATAATGCACCAGGTCTCCGTCACACTTATCGAGTGCGTTCCTGGCGAGACGACCGGAGCGAGAACGGGTTAAGGGTGAAATCCGAAGCGGCGGGTACCTTTGCCCGCTTGACTGCATTCGGAGATAATCCGCCCGATTTCCGCGATGATTTATTGATTCAAATTTTCGGCGTGGAGCACCGCCCACGCGGCTTCTTTCGCGTTGCTCGCTTGCATTCCCAACTCATCCGTGTCTTCCGTGGACTCGTGCATAATACACGTCTGCGTCGATTTCGCGCTAGGTCTAACTGAATTCTATTCCCCAACGGGAATATTTGCCGCCGTCGTCTCAAAGTTTTCGCTTGCTAATAGCCATCGCCATCGTTTCCCCCGCCGCCACTCAATAAATCCACGAGTTCTCCGCTTCTGATCTCGTTAAGTTCGTCAAAATCTCTGCCCATTTTTGCCATTTTCAATTCCTCGAGATGGAGCCTCACAAACGAAACGGGGATTATCTCCCTCCCGGTGGAATTGTTTTGGGGTTTACCCCTTTGAGCGACGCAGAACGCCGGTAGAAGTCGTGTAGGTGGCTTGTTCTGATCTCAAAAAATAGAAAGAGCTTCTGTGCGATCAAGCGAACGAGTTGCGTAACAACGACGGTGACGACTAGCACGAGCTGATGACGGCGGATGTTTTCGTCGTTGATTCAAGATTTCTGCAGACTTTGATGGGTCTAATCCTGGTGAGGGCTCGGCTCCAGCTCCGTCCGAGACGATTGCGTCCCACTCGAAAGTGAGTTAAGGGATGAGATGCTGAGGATCCCAATTAATCTGAGGCAACGATTTCCCGCGGCCTTGTGGCTCCTGGAAGAGTCTCTTCGAGCGCAAGCCTTCGAGGGGGAAAGGTTCGTAGTTCCCGGACTTGCCCCACTGCTACTTCTGCACAGACTATCATTCGAGTATACATAGTAGAGGATGATAATCATGCTCAGTTCGTCCGTCAACTCTGTACCGGAGAGCTCCCATTTCAGTGAACGATTTACTGTGGTCGGTGAGGATTCGTCTCGAGAAGCAAGCCAAGATATAGCGATGAGTAGTCGGAACAGAACGTTGCTTTCGCAGCTCGACATCGTATCTCGGCTCGAATGTCAGCAAATGGGACTCATAAAGTCGTCATGGAATCGAATTCGCGGCAGGTTCCGGGAGATTTATATTTTCCGCAGTTAGAGAGATCAGCTTGATCGATGAACTCAGCCGGGATTCCATCGAGATTCTAGTCTCCTCCGTCCGTTCTTGGACCTAAGACGACGGAGGCTGAACCACGAGAGGTCCGCTCGCACTTGAGCTCCGCCTCGGAACGGGAGAGCGGACCTTCTCCGGGAGGACCCTCATCCTGAATATCCTGAGCGTACGCCATCCGGGACTCTCGAGGGATATATGGATCATTCCCGTTAAGGGAAATTGTCTCTACCAAATGATCATGATCCTCGTATGATCTATGTCCTCCGATTATCTCGGATTCTGTAATCAGGAGCAGTTCCCGGGGAAAACACCCTGGCCTGGTAAACTCTCTTTCTTTTCCACCGCCAAACCACCTTGATGAGCTGAAAATGAACACATCCCGTGCAGAAGTGCATATGCTTTTACTGCTGACAAGCCTCGACTCTAGAAGAGTATTCATTTCATCGGTTTTCGATTTCGATCGGAGCATTGAAACTGAGGAGTGGGTTTCACCTTTCGCGGTTCATAATCGATAGAATGTTCATGAGAGCCATTAGGGGTTCATCTGAGACCCCGTATCGGGATGCTTACATGATCGCGGGATAGATACCGGAATGAGGGATGAGTGACGAAATCAGAAATTTTTCCCTTGGGATGGCATTATCCTGATTGGTCCGGGTTTTCAAAGTGAATCACGTTCCGCTCAAGGCTGATCGCATTGTCGGGCTCTCGCTACGACTTCATTCAAAGCCTCCGATTTGACGATGATGGACTTGGAGGAACCGTAATCCATACTGTACTACCACGGCGTGACCACCGAGCTCTTCCTATAAACTCAGGCGTCGAGGAACCTGAAAATATGTCCATTCAATAATTCATTCAACGAGTGAGAGGAGAGCCTCTTCTGAACATTGGGCGTGCCGAGCTAGAATTGCCGAAAACTTCTATTGAGCCATAGGACGGACACAGCGCTTCTCTGAAAGCTTTTTCTTCTCGTTTGAAATATCCTGGAAACAAATCGCGAGTTCGTTTCTTGGGGCGAATCTCGACTCGGCTATCGGAGTCTCCCGTCACCTTTCACCGAGACACATTGCTCCCTTCCGGGTCAGCAGGCATCATGAACCTCACTTTCGGGTTCTGCGCCATGGTATTTTCAAACTGTTGATCCCAACCCCTGAGAGGTCTCCATTTTCGACTGACAGGGGCACCGAGAGCTCTCTGAAATCGGAACCGAAGGGCAGCATGCGCGCATCGGCAAGACCCATGTGGACCCCCGAAGCAGCCCTTGACTTATGGAACAATCGTGGCCCGCAACAGAGGTCCTCGATGTCAATCACAGTATCGGACCTTTGGGATGGAGGGTGCCAGCTATCATTGACAGAGGTCCGATTCGCTTGAGAAGCTCAACGGGACCCAGTCCCCTACTCCCGTGAATACAATCGGTTCCACAGTGACCCAATAATTATGAAAGCTCCCTAATTGTCCGAGGAAAGAATAGAACAGCGTAAAGCAGACCGCTTACGTACTCGGACGACTCTCCCCGAGAAATACGTCTACCATTGGGCCCCAACTTCACGGGACTGCTCCGAAAGTCCAAGGCAAACATAGCTTGTGGCTGGAGGAGACCCGGGATATCTTTCGGAATTAACGAAACAGGGGTCGAGCCGTCGATGGGAAAATAAATTCGTTGGCTTTCACAAAATGTTCGTCTCCTACTCGTTTGCCGCCCAGTCGGACCTCACCGCCTTAGCTCGTGAGGTTGGACCCGCGTGACAGGAGAGAATCGGAAGGACTCGATTTAGCGGAGAATATGCAGACAGGTAGTGTCAGTGGTGCTACCGTTCGGTGCCATACAAAAAACTCTACTCGTTCCAGTCTCTCCGTCCGGTCGCACTCTTCAGCTTCTTGTAGAAATCGGATATGGGATGGTGCAGGTTGAATTCGACGGAAGGAGGTTGCCTCACCGTCATCGTATTGCATGTATCCTCACCACGCGAGCTCGGAAACTCAGGATCGCTTCTCACGTCCCAATGGCGTTGAGGTTCACCGATCGATCTCGCTTGAACTTGATTCTGTAGACTTACTCCGCTGTTCCTCGTGTAGGATTCGGGAGCGGGGTTTCAGGACCCCGACAGGGGTATTCCCTTGGGAGTCTGACGAGGTCTCAGAGGGCACCTGTCGAGAGCCATCTATGTATTCGTGCACAATGCAGGGAGGGTTCCAATTAGCCGATCTGGAAAATGTACGCCTTCATCTCGGGATCGAACCTGGATAGGCTGCATGGGGGCTGGAAATTCCTGGTCTGAATGCCGGGGTAGAGGTCTTGGAACGCACTTCTTGATACTTCAACCTGCACTCTTCTTAAAGTGTATGTGGATTTTCCACATTCGCCGGAAGCTGGAGATTCCAGCTCGCCCACATCAGTGATTAGTGGGCTCATGCGTATGCGGCGGCTCTTTTGCAGTGTCGAGCTTACGGAGAGCTTGGTCAGAATCATCGAGTGTGTAGCTCAAAATCTCTGCTCACGCAGCTGATCACTTGAGCCGGTCGGCTAGGTTGAGGCTGAATTCGGGGACGACCCCACACTGTGAATCCTTCGCGGTCCCTGTTGATTGCTCTCAGTCGTTGTCTGGAATATGCCGGAGTCTCCACCGAAGCTCCTTCCACCCCTTATAATTATTCATTTGCTGATTTGCTCATTTCCGATTTCGATTTCTTCGTTTCATCCATTTCTTTTTCTCTAGATCTCCTAAAACAAACGTCTTCATCTGAGTGGGGACGCCGATCCCCCTCTGGGAAAGGAGCGGTTCGGTTCGAACGGCTAGCGCCGCGAGTCAGTTGGGGGTGGTCGTGCACAGGCACCGCCTCCCAGGCTCTAACCCCGCCTTCAGCCCAGTGAAGGCGAATCCTCGATCTACAGGTTAGATAACGCTCGGCGATCAGAGTAGAAAGACGCTTGCTGCTCATCCCGGTCGAGTATAGCCAATACTGCGACCAGTAGATGATAGCGGCTTTTTTATGAGTTTGTGCGTTCCACGGTCCCATAGTTACATCTCAGCGTCAACTTACGAAATTCCAGTGTACGTTTCTGCGGATGCCTCGATCGGAAAATCATAAGTCAGCATTGTGTGAGTGCCGTGCTAATCGGTGAAAGCCATCAAGCGAGTCCTCCTGACAGAAATCTACCCGGATTTCCAGGACCGGCTTCCCGTCAGAGCGTGGACGACCACACGATTGAAGGAAACGTCCGGTCCTCAAGCTCTAAGCTGTCGGTGATTGTGGAGTCTTCACAGGGTCCGCACCCTTCGTACGACTACTATGGTCTAGCTGGAGCGAATCAAGGGGGGCATATGTCAGGTCCTACTGCGGTAGGTCCTGAACTCGCCCAGCCCCTCTCGCATGTGCAACCGGAAGGCCAGGCCTTATGTCTCTCCAGGTGAGCTATGACGACTATCTCTCGAAGCGGGGCACGACGACGATCGAGGGATGATCTATGCATAGGGAACGAGAGAACGACTATTTCGAAGCGTTTCCTCCGGAAGGAAGCTCCGGAGCTTGTAAGAAACCACCTCAGTTTCAGTCGATCTGGTGGTCTCTACGACGACGTCAGCGGATCCCCCCAACGACCGCAATCGTCAAGTTGCGGAAATCACAACAATAGTAACGCGAACAGCAACAACACCCAGCAACACCAGCGGGCGCAACAGCAGCAGCAACAACAACAGCAGCAGCAGCAACAACAGCCACAGCAGCATAGATCTCAAACGCCCACTGCAGCGTCGACTTCAGGACTGCAAGGTCACGCACATATTCCTTCCCATTGTATCGAGCAGCCACGTTTCAGATCGATAGCGGACAATCAGCTTCTGGCCCAAGAATCAGGTTCGTCGACCTAGATCGACCTCTGCTGATACCTCAGCATGCATGACTTCCGAGAGGAAGACGCCCTGACGTTTTCTGGAAATTTCTCGCAGAAAATGCCGCCGAAGAGGATCGACGCCGGGCAGAGCTCGCTTGGAACTCGGGAAAAGGCGTGATAACTTCACGAATCGGTGAGATCCTGTTGGGTTCGACCGGAATCGGGATTATGAAATGGGAATATGTAGACACGTTGACTCTCCGACGGTGTGCGATTAGCGCTTTCATAAGCGACTCGCTCTCAGAGAGGCAAAACATTATGCAAGTTCTATCCCCCGCTCTCTTTTCCTCGCTTTACGTCGCAGACCTCTTTTTCCTCTGATGGACCAAAGCGGATTGAAGACGAGAAAATGGTGAAGAAGAGCGCGCGAAGTGCAGGTGACAGATCGGAAAGTGTGTTCCGAACCTTATATAGATATTCCTCTTGATCCGCGGAAAAAAGGAACGAGAGAAGGAATAAACAGCGTTTTTGCGTAATGCGAGGCCTCGGGACGAACGATCACTCCCGGCGATTCTTCCAAAGAGCTGGAACTTTCCCGAAAACCAGAAGCTAAACCTCATGCTTTCGGAAGTTCTTCTTCTGACCGTGATCAGCAGTCCCTTGACGGCACATCGCCGAATCGCTTCGATTTTTGAGATCGACCCATTTTTGACGGACGAGTCCACCGCATCTCCATCGAGTCCCTCGATGGAAATACGCAGGCATGGAGACCTCCACGCTACCGGGACGATGTCTAGCGCTGCGAGCTCAGCGAATGTGTCGTTTCCCGCTCTTTGCTCGCAGCGAGCGAATTCCCGGATGCTTGACCGCCTCCTAGAGTTGAAACTATCGCGTCTTGCGTAGCCGAATCAAATTGAGAGCGGAGTTCGAATTCCACAAGCTCCCGACACTCTCACTGAGTAATTTTTGCCATGATCTATCGAGATTAAAAAATGCGAGTCTCCGGAACCCATCTTGGAGAGCTCAAATCGGAGCTTCCTCGGGATCACGGAGCCCCAGTTAAACTTTCTCGGTTTTGCGGACGTCCGCCGGTATTGTTCCTCACGGGATCTCGGCGAAATCTGTCGAATTGATCCCGTTCGGGATCGAGGATGCGAAAGCGATCCGCGAAATCCGCAGTGTACAGCGTGAAGAGATTGATTTCCATCGATTTTGCAGTGGCCGAACGTTCACGCGCGAACTTGGCTTCAGATCTGAATGGCCACGTATCGGACAACTGCAACGCCACCAGCAGTAGCAGCAGTAGCGGAGACTATCCCTCAGCGGTTCCCTGCATGATTGTCCACAATGAAGGGCATAATCCACACAATGGTGAGTTGCCCCTTGAGTTCTCCGACCAGATTGCGCGCGGGGAACTCACGACTATCACCTCTAACGTGGCAGCTTACTTCCCAGGCCAGGTCAATTGGGAGCGAGATCTCAACAACATCAAGCTCGAGTACATGGATCTGGATGATTTTCTCCAGGAGAACAACAGAGGTTCCGTCCGACAGCATCAGGGTGGTCAGCTTCAGCAGCACTTGCATCAACATCGACAGCAAATGCAAATGTCGTATGCGCGAAGCAGCTCTGAAGACATCGGCAACCTTGGCATGCGTTTCGCGAACGCGAAGTCAAGAGGCGAACCCAGTACCTACCCGGGTAAGCAATACTACATGCCCCCCCACCGTCTCTGTTCCGTCATTGATGATGGCCCCAGGACTGACTTCTTAAAGTCTCCCGCCTCGTCATATGATGAATGAATGAAAGAGTAGCTTGAGCGTCCGTTTCTGATGATATCGCTCATCACAGGCTACTGTAATGTGCAGTCGACGGAAGAGCATTATTCAAAAGACATCAAGTCTCCGGAGAGTCCAAATCAGCTCGTGAACGTCGAATGTGGCTTCACAAGGAACGATCTCGCGTTAGCCACGATACCAGGTGATTATCCCGGTCGTGAAACCTTCAAATTGGAAATTCTGACGGAGGCTCATGGTATTTTCGTCATTTCCCGACACTCTGAGCGGGAGATTCTCCCCGTCATGGAGTGGGAATCTGAGGAGCGATTCCTCGGAGAATGCTTGTTGGAGAGCTTTCATAGAAGCGCCCTCGGAACCAAAAAGCCTCAGTAATTAGTCTCCGTGTCGACAGGTCAAGAAGATTTCGATCCGTCTAGTCACTCATTCTCGGAAGATGAACTAAAACCACAGCCGATCATCAAGAAATCGCGAAAACAGTTTGTCCCTCCAGAGCTGAAAGATGAGAAGTATTGGGCCCGGAGGCAGAAGAACAACATTGCGGCCAAAAGGTCAGTGCCGTGATGTATAGCATAGCCTCTGGTCAATAATTCCGACCACAGGAACTCCCACGAGATCGACGACTGTGAGAGTCCTGGAGCATCCGAATCTTCCTCCGGGGATAAGGTTTTCAACTTTATTACAGGTCTCGAGAGGTGCGTCGCGTGAAGGAAAATCAAATAGTGTTGCGTGCCTCATTTCTCGAAAAAGAAAATGTTGCCCTTCGTGAAGAAGTGCGAAAACTCCTTCAAGACAACGAGAGACTTCTGCAGCGTTTGCGGAAATATGAAAACTGACCTCCTAACCTCTCGGGGATACCTCAGGTTGCCGAGGCACGACTCTGTGGGAGTCGTCCTTATCGGAAAAGATTCCGAGATATTTTGTCATTGTGATCATGTCCCCCCTCGCCTGGAAACTCAACATGTACTTTAGCTCAATACGATCATTTGTGGATCGTTTTCCCGCGCGTCTTTCCTCAATCATTGGTCCAAGTTGACAAGATTGGGATCCGTTCCGCGCGAGTAACCTTTGAATTTCGTTCGATTGTGGTGATACATATCCAAGAGCTCTCTCGGGCTCACGTTTACCGAAGCTGCCGTCTATTCACTTCAAGAGTGTGCGCCTAAAACGTACATGTGGGATGAACGAAAAAACACGTAGGCTAGTTCTGCAGCAGGGTACATATCATCAATGACTGATTGAATAGTACCTGTAGCAAGAATTTTATAAAGTTTTCTTTCAAGTTTTCACCCTCCGTATCACGCGTAATAAAAATTCTTAACTTTGAAAACGTCTTCCAAGTGGTCATTCACTATTGCACCCGTATCCCTTATCCTTTGTTGTAGACTTAAGCTACCCGAAGTAAGCGGGCTAGACCGAGCAACGTATAATCTGTGACCCGTGGAGACAGCGTTCGGAACGCGGAAGTGCCTCAGCGGCACCTTTTCGCGGCCTGAAGCTCCTCCGCTGACAGCGCAAGGGTACCCTGAATCCATTGGGAAGAAGTTAAGATGGGGACAGGGACGGGGTCAACGACTCGCGCAGGGACTTCCTCCACGATGACTAGTTTCAGGTCGATCACATTACATAAGTTGCAGGGACTCGGCAGGAAGGTAGCGCTGGTCAGAGTCGGAATGCTCCACATGCAGACGAACTGAGCGGAGAGAAGGAAGGGAGGAATAACCGGACGAGATGAGGGATATCCTGCGGGGTCGGCTGAATTCCGGAAATTTTCATTGGCGGCCAAAACTCATCAAAGATTTCATCGCGAAATTTTTTTCTGAATGAACGTGGATCTGACAAGCGGATTCTTTCTAAAGAGAAGTCATGCGCTTCGTACACATCCTCGCAATCGTGTTTTCCGCCCGCGACATTTCTCCTGGGATGAGCGAAGTGCTGTCCGATCGAGCCTGGGGGGAACCTTTTTGACCTGTTTGCCCAAGCTGCTCGGTGGCAGGCAAATGCCAACGAAATGTCATCGCGGAGCCCTCCCCCGCCAGAGGGAAGGTTTAATCATGCAATGCGGGTGACTCACGTTCGAATAGCGGCTTCCGGCGTTCTCTGGAAGTTCGCCAGTTTCCCATTGCGGTCGATGAAGAGTTCGGTATCAGCTCGGAGATCCAAAGCGAGTCACAATCCGGACCGTGCAAGCGCGTGAAACTCTCCGTGACATCACCGAGGGATCCGATTGTGCTTTAATCGTTGAACACGATTCCACTGCCTCCAAAGAGATGTCGGTCGACTCGCGACTCGAGATCATGACGCGGTCAGCAGCTGCGGACTCGGACAGCACGAGTTTCGGCCAAGATGAAAGCTTTTCTCGAGCGAGCGGTTCCGGAAAATTAGGCTTCCTTCCTGCCGACGGGCTGATATAAAGCGCTTCCGAATACGTCAAGGTTCTATCGGAGCTTCGGAATTATTTCTCCACAATGAAACTTTTCGGAGCGCTCCTCGTTGCTGTCTCATTCTGCGCCGTCAGTGAGTATCAGGCCGTCAGTACCGGGATCTCCACGTCCGGTTATAGGGACTCTCCCGGTGGATAAGATCCATGGTTGAGAGAACGACGCCGTCCGCTCCTCCAGCTGTGATACGATGACAAGAGGTACAAAAGGCCCGAATCTGAGCCGAGCTTGTCCCATTCCAGATGGCTGGTACATGCCGAATAAACGAAGGACCATCTCGTTGGACAGCGTAGGTTACCCCGTCGCCTACGGCGGCTTGGGTAATAGTTTCGCATCCACGATTCCCATGACGTACGCCAACATCAACCAAGAACTCGTGGACCCGTGTGTTCTGCCATCCGTGTGTCGAGTGGCTACCTTCAAACCAGACATTTACTCGAGTTTCTACCCTCAAACCGTTATGGCGTCGAACCGTGCCGTCACTCCTGTGAGCAGCATGAGCACCGCGCAGTCTCTCGGGAGTTCTAACACTGTTTCCGTAGGCGGAGGATACAAAGTCATGAGTTCTTGAATAAAATGATCGACCGAGATTGACATATAGGCAACCAAGTCGCGTGTTCCGTAAAAGGCGTCCGGTTAGAGAACTTTCTTCGACCGAACGTCGAACATTCGTCCTCGGCCGGAGAAATACGGAACCATTCTGCAGAAAACTTCAATTCCGGAACTGTCTAATCGTCTAGACGGTTCCGATTCAATCCAATCCTCGAGAGGCATCTCTGAATAGCTCTCGTGGTGTGATATGTGCTTATCGAAACCTCAGTACTACAGATAGGTTCCGATGATTCGGTAAACGCTTCAAAGGAACGTCCGTTCGAGCCGACTGTCACGCGTGCAGACGTGCACGTGCTCCTCGAACTATGGTACGATTACATATTCATCGTGCTCCAGATCTTTTCGCTATCTGGGAATTGAGAAGACGAACTTTACAGATCTATAGACTTTTTTTCGAGCATTCATCGAAAACATCTCTGCCGGTACGAGCATATCATATTATGCGCTTTGCAACCGTAAGCGATAGTTATACAACCGAAATATATATATCCGCGATGTATATTGATACGTATATATGTTTACAGCGTTTTGTCACGTGTTGCCGGTCAGATGTTCGAGTACTCATCGCTTCCCGGCGAAAATATTCCATGGGAAACACGTGGCGCCAACGATAGCAGTTGCCCGGGCGCAAGACTGCGCACCACAGGATGGGACCTGCTGTAATACTGCCGGCCTCACGATAATAGGGTTGAGGTTGCACGACGGACACCCGGAGTGCAGAAAGGTCGCAGTACTTTCATCAGCTACGGCTATGAGCACCAGAATCTGGAACTCGAACAGGACAATGGAAGGAAGTCCCCGACGAGAGAGACGACCGCAAGGAGGATTCACTAGATTACAAGTCCCACATCAGAACCTCGACTCACGGTCAAGTACATCGGAAGCATCGCTGGCGAATAGCAGGGCCTGTTTCCAGGCTTTCCACTGGGAACGGATGTGTCGCCGTCAGGAACCTCTGCCTTATATCCTCGATTCCGTGACGAGCTCTGCCCCTGCGGTCAGCGTATTTCCCATCAGCAATCGAATTCGGTCTGTTCTCGGCGACTCCGGCGGGGATTCCCCTCTTCGGGTTACCCAGGCTGAGGATTACTGCGAAAAAGTTACTCGTCTCGCTGGAAGAACGTTCACTGCGATTGCTCACTGCAAGATCGTTAGGGTCACGCAAGGCCTGTGGTGGAGGCGGTCCACATGTCAGGTCATCAATCGGATACTTCCTGGAAACTATCGGGCGGTTCTTCGAACTCAAGCTGCGCATTCCAAGAATATCGATCAACACGCCTGGGATTTCAATGCACTGTGATGAAATGGGGAAAACTCAACTCTGAAATCGCACCATTTGTTGGGCTCAGGCAGCATTCACGCTTTCTCCTGCGAGGCAGATGTCTTCCGCTCGTGCGAGGTGGACATCGCCTTAGCATGCGAGGCAGCCTTTCTGACGACGCGCATGAGGGCGGGAAACCGTGAAAAATCGTCGAATAGACCATAGCTTCCGAGTTTCCCTCTCGAAAGCATAGGTACGGTATAAGTGATTCGATCAGAATGGGAGGAGATAGGACCAGGGCCATGGTAGCAATCCTATTCATGCGAGAGTCCGTTATTAGGTCCGCTATGGCCATCGACTCCATGTCAGTCTAGGAATGGGAATCCCGTGGTCAGGATGTGTGGAACGATCCGAATGGCTGCGGAGACAAGTGCTATCAATCGCTTCCAAAATCATACCACCTGAACTCTGCGTCAGCTTCTCTCCGCAATTCCCAACCGGCAGTGATCTCCTATGGTCTCTCCCTATCGCGTCGGAGAATAGCGCTCTCCCGCAGCTTACGGTGGTAAAAGATTCTGATTGACCGTATTCCATCTATGCATCCGAGCGCGAATTGGTCGAGGAGGTCGACGGATTCGAGGCCTAGCCGGTGATCGACTGATTCTTGTGTTCTGATCCGGATTGATGACTGCTCGTCCAGTCGGTGTCGTGAGTCTGATCCTCCGGCTGCTTCGACACATAATTCTTTTTCGCGGTCCGGCGTGTCCTCCGCTCCCTCCCGCGCCCCTGTGTCCATCTCGATATCGAGCGAGAGCAATCCCTATCCCGGAAGTTTTCTCCCCGCGTCAGCCTGAACTCATTCGCGCGGAAATACTCGCGGCTCTTCACCACTGGATTTAAGCTCTGGTCATCTTCAGAAATCACGTCGCTGAGAATTTGATTGAGCATGTGCCTCGCGATGATCCATTCTCGATTCTTGCTGCTCACAGTCTCCTGCAAGCGGATGAACATCTCGTTCCGGGAATGGGAGATGCTATTCAGCGCTCGAGAATCTCCCGTGGATTCAGGAAAGATCATCATGATCAGGGCTCCCCTTGCATTTACCCCTCTCTCAGTCTGCTAGCTGGCTACGAAGCTGTATTCTTTTTGAACGGAATCGCAACAAGTCTCTGGAGCATTCCATTATCGAATGAGAATTCCTCTTGGCTCCTACGGCATCCCTCCGTTCCAGGGCGCGGCGTCCCTGAGTGGAGCGTTCCTCCGTTTCTGAAACCTGCATGACTGGCTACGTAAACCAGACGAGCTCTGGGACTGTGGCAAGGGGCGCAGAGCACCGAGAACTAGAGAGTGAGGAGAATTTCTCAACGTAAACAACAGAAACCAGAGCGTTGCCTTTGCACTTGAAAGCTCTACATTCAGCGTAATTTGCACGGATCGATTTGAAGTCGAGCCATGGACGGTCCTGTTGACGAATGGAGGCCTCCCACTACAGCAGAATTGAAGGTCATCGAGAAACGCCGAGAGAGAAATGACAAAATCAGCGCTCTGCTTGGAAGCTACATGCTCCGAGGCTACAAAATGCTGGGTGAGTCTAAGTAATATTCTGGTGCCATCGGCCTGATGGAATATCCATTCTCCGGTCTTGAATTTATGTCGTGAGAATCGCAGTCTAAGGAGTTGAAGCTGACACTGCTGTCCTGAATTAAAGGTGAAACCTGCCAAGTTTGCGACACGATTCTCCTCGAAAGCCGACAGGTGAGCCCAGGCCCTTAATTAATTGAACGAGCACAGACAGGCTCGTTGTCACCAAAAAGTCACAGGATCGACCCCTTAGCATTTTGTTCTCGGTCCGCCCGTGGAGGGAGGCAAATGGTTGAGGGAAGGGTCTCTGTACTGGTCACATTGTCTCGATGATGTCAAGCGTGATGGAAAGGGGATCAGAAGTCCTCCGTTGCGTTATTATAACTGCTCCACGTTCGTAGTCATCTTTGAATACTGTCATAGACAATCATTATATCCTTACTGTCAGGGCGCTAATTACTGCGTGGCTTGCCATGAGTTGGACGAGCAAGAAACCGCGAAGGATGACCCAGCGTTGAGCGAAGGAGCCGCTTCGAGATTGCGTGCCGAACATCCTCACACACCCTCTGATCCAGGTAAGAGATCTTCCCACGAAGCTCCGCAGTTCAGGGTCGACGTCTGGAAATCTCAGCTGTGTCCTCATGTCGAGTTCTTCTGCTCCGACTTCCAGCAGAAATCCCTTCGGAAGGTATCTCAACGGAGGCAGACGCAGAAACAGCGGACCGTCGCGACTTTTCGAGTGATGTGGAAGTGTTGTCTCGGGTAGCAGTGCGGCCGATTCTCCGATTGGCATCCTCGAACGAAGCCCCCCGACCTTCGTGTAGCAGGTTTGAGAATTCCCCTTTTGTGTCGTGGCCATGTTGCCCCCTTAACATGAATCGATAAGCGAATGAATGAAGCTAATACGGGACCGCTCCAGATTGTTATCGATTCGGGAAAATCGGGCGTGAAGAACATAGATCTCATCCGTGAATATTTCAGCGCACCTGATACCGTGGGAATACTGAAAAGCAAGATAGCGTGGGCGTCCCTTCAGCTGAAAGACGAATGCCGGGACTTACAAAAATGTATCGAACTCGCGCATCTCATTCGGGAATGTAGTCAAGCGCTCCGCTCCTTTTCAGAGAATCAGTCTCAGAATCAATAGCGTCGATATGTGAATAAAGCGTTGGTTTTCGCCTATTCGAAACGACCTGATCAACAGCTAGAAAAAACGTGCGACGATGATCGAGTCCCGATATTCATCGATCATCACAGTGGTAGTCGTTTCCAGGCCAGACCCGATTTTCGCCTCCTTCAGGTACCTACATTGGGGGTGCGGGTCTAGGGAAGAAATTATTCCTGGCGCGGACGGCACGAGCTCGGAGCACCTGTGCTCCCGAGGCCTATGTACCGGGGAGTAAACAGAGAACCTCACCGTGCTGCATGAAGCAACTTGAATCACTCTCCGGCGAGCACAATATCTCCAATCGATGTCAAAAGGTCGCGAACATAGGCTCTTTCCGTGACCTTGATCATGTGGTCACGTCCCCCGAAGTCTCAATTGTGGGTCGTGGGCGGCGCATATTTGGACTTCAATGCTGGACATCTAGCTTCGCTCGTGCAGGACAACTCTTGACGAGAGGGAGGAACGGGAGGCATGCCATGCAGAGATTCGTGAGCTATTCAGTTCCATCGTCCGGATCAGCCAGACCCAGAGCGACCCCAGGAGCACCTCGTCAGAACCTCACCCCTCACGCTGGGGGCGACCGACCGACGGTTTGCGTCTCAAAGGCCGCAATGCATTGGGGGGAGGAAAGAAACCAAGTGTAAAAAGGGATATTGCTCTCTATTCGACTTTTTCCTATATATGTATATATATATATATATGTATTTACAATGAATGTTGGAATCCGTGAGTTTGAGTTCACTAGTGAGCCTCTCTGTCGGTGCTGTCGAGTCCCGCTGACTGAAACGGGGTTTTCCGAGCAACGGAGTCTATCGAGAGAATCTATCAATGGGGCTGCTTTAGAAGTCATTCAGAGAACATGTCCCGGTGAGCTTCGATTTCGGTCTCGCGAGCTTCGGAACTTCAGTCCAGAAATTGCCGTATACGCTCCGTATACGATCGGACGGAGGGAAACGGGATGTTTCTGAGATTCGTTCAACGGTGGAGTATCTCCACAGAAGACGGAGAGGGACCCAAGCTAACTGCTTCGATTGAAAGCGCATCGATTGTGGCTAACCCTCGAGAGTTAGAGTATAACAAAATCGGTGTCGACCGAGGTTCTGCATTCGTCAGAGATATCGGTCCAGTCAGATCTCTTCGTTTTTGGCATAATGATGGGAGGCTCTGCAGCGGACCTGAAAGGCGGGCGTACGATTAGACCGACTCAGCTACTGTGACATGACGGAGGCCGTCGAACACGTCAGGAGTTGTATTGTTCCGTCAAAGCGAGCCAGAAATACGCAACTAGGACCAGCCTACGGCGAATACGACCGACTGCGACAATTAATCATTTCCATAGGGGAATTTATGCATCGGAGCGTCGCTTCGCCTCATTGACTTGACATTTTACGTCGTAGCTGAGATGCACTCCTCACCTTTTGAGCGGGAAACGCCGATATGACTCTAGAGCAAACTGTATACGCTCCTCCATCTCTCCTTGTGCGCAATCTATTAGGTGGAGCACTCTGCCGAGGTAAGCGTGCACGCTCGATAAGGAGCATTCCTGGGAGGATTTCGAGAATATCATTCATTGTCTGTTCAAATCGACTTGGATGACAACAATGATATTCACTCTAAACGTATGTACCGGATCGAACCCCGGGGATAACGGCGTGAGCCTCGAATCTGAACATCACGGGGCAGCTCCTCCGACTTACATACCTGTTTCAATAGGTAGGCGTGGTGTTTGAGGATTATCGAAGCAGCCAGGTAAATCGGCATGAGTTCTTCACTCGCCAAAAATAGATCAAACAATCTCACGAGGGTAGCGTAATGCGTGAGATCATGACCGAACCAAGTTATACACCATGGTAACAGGAACATCACACCTTGAATCGGATAACAATAAGCTACGAATCGCTCCATTGAACTCATTAGAGAAGAATGGCCTCGTCATCCCGATATGAATAGGCGGGACCGACACCGAAATCTACACCGCTCCTGGATAATGTTTAGGGATGATGGAATAATCCGTGGCGCGTCTCCCACTCTCAGGACCTCGAATTAGCACCTACCACATTGTGACTTCTCCAGAAACTTCTTCAGCGGCTCGTTGAGATGCCCTAGGAGAGGATAGACCCCATCGAGCTGTCTGACAGTTCCCTGGACCGTGACTTCCATGAAAGGACGGAGTTTCGTTCTCGACAAATCCTCTACGATTCTGAATGCGAGGTCCTCATCACCTAAAAGGAAACCCTGGACTCATTTGGAGTCACAACAAAATAGTCTCAAGGAGTATGGGGAAAGACGTATACGTAGCTCTCTTGAAATAGACATAGAGTTGAGGCTCACCGTCGAGGACTAGAAGGACTGTGACGCATATATCATGATAACCTTGGTAATAATGAAGATCAGGGTTCGCGACCAAAATTCGCATTATCAGGGAGTTGAGCTTGTCTTGCAAACGCAGCCGTTTCACTCTCGGTATTGATGGTGGAAATCTTCGAATCGATCTTTGCACATCCGCCAGTACCTGCGAAAGTACGGACAAGGAATATCGTTATACCTGCGGAATTCATTGCGCAATTGATTCAGTGTGATGGAGATCATTCGTGGAGAAGACTTTGGTTAGTATTCGATCATTTGTAATCGAGTGTTTGGTTCAACGAGACTTCACTCCGTCCTTGAATTATGGGGTCGGGGGGAAGATTTTTCTGGTTCAAGTCCATGTTTCGAGTGCCTAGAGTGTCCATTTACGAGACCTTCGAGCTCACGTTTCCGCTGCAGGCAAGTACATGGTGGATGAAACGCGAACCAGCCGAAGGGAAGAATTCGCCGGCAAGTTCGCTCCATTCCAGACAAGGACTTGGACATCGCCCCACTTCTCCTCAACCACGTCGAAAAAAATCTCAGACGCCCCATAAGCGGAGCGTGGAATTATTGCTTGTTCTCTCTCCTTGCTCGGTCTCTGTCTGATCTCACCACCGAGTCAGAGATCTATCGATGGAAGCGCAATCTTTGCGATACTCGATTCTTGACCAGAGCTGTGAACCGGAAGCATTCATCATCGCCGTGGCGCTCTCCATCAATTTCCTCTCGTGGCGTTCGACATAAGAGAAAAGAAAACATTACTGTGGATTACGCAGGCCGCCTAGGCGATGACCCGTAACCTCAATTGAGCGCACACATTGTCAAACAGGTCAAACATCAGGTGAATGCCCCTTAGGGCAATGCTTGTCGTCATGTCCTTCACCCCGAGTACTCGATTGTGTCGAACTCAGAAATGAAAGTCTTTCTCGAACGTGACTCCGTCTCCGTGTGACCCACTTACGCCCCCCCAGTGAGACACAGTCGCCTACATTACGCGCGACACGATAGTTTATTTAGGACTTCTTTTCAGAGGTCACGCCTCTCCGGCATGCCGAGATTTCATTGTTGAAGAGTAAAGCTCCAACAATCACTTTCGCGATTTCGGACGAGCTCGGAGAAAAATCAATATTTACTTCCGCGTCATCGTGAGATTATCTGATTCGACTTATTGGAATAGCGAGCTCGACGTCGTAGCAGTAGGAGCGGAGATTCCAATTTACAAGCGCTTCCGGTGTAGGTCAAAGGGAATATGTCCTCATGGAGCATTTGCATAGGGAAGCGTTTTCCCATTGCGCCAACAACGAGCATCAAGGAGACTTCTTCGGAATAAGAAGAGCTCCAATACGATCCCTTGTCATCCACGCAGTCGAGAAGCCTTCAAAATGACTTCATAAAGAACTCGGCATAGCGCGGTGCCAGGCAAGTCTCCGTCGTCTCCAATATTCTCTGGATCCCTCAGAGTTCTCGTCCGATGGAACCACTAGCGCGTCTGGACGTCATTAGAAACGTGACTCGATGATTTCAGCTTACCTGCTGGTAGTATTGATGCGATCGCAACGTATCGGAGGCGACTCCTTGAGTTCGTTCGGCTCCGTCCAACTTGAGCATGATAGGCCAGGCCCGTCTCCGGAGCGAGTCTTCTAAGAGTCCCATTGGACTTATCGCGAGATCTTTCAACACTTCGGAGTTACCCAATCTGGAAAAGAGCGGAAGGTGTTGATGCCTGAGACACTTCCACGAAATTCGCTCAGACTCCCGTCGATGAAAGTACCCCCTTAGTGCCCCGTTGGGAACTATACCTAGGAGAAGGGACCGACTCTTCCCCCTCCCTGGAGACGCTCGGGCATTCTGCGAGAGCGATTTGTATTCAATAGAGGGCAGACCCTCGCGATACACGATCTCAGCTTCGGAGCTCGTCCGTGGCATCGTTTCCAGCGGTCGTGAATTTCCTCCGGGAAAATTCGATAAGGACGATCACTCGACCTCTTCCCTCCCTTGACAGTAGCTGCACTATGCGAGCTCGGCATCTTCTCCGCTGGTGAGGAGCCCCATCGGCATGCTATTGAGGGATCGTATGATTTCCTCGAACGCATCATGTCAACGTAGAATTTCCGCGCATCGTTGCTAGAAAAAGCAGAAAATCTGACCTGCTGTAGGCAGTTGCTCCCGGACTGGCACGGCGCTCGGGAGCGGACGGTCGAACGAGACGTTGTAATGGCCAACAGCTCGACACGATTCAAGTAAACTCAGTCAGTCAGTCGATTTTTTGAATTTCATAACGAACGTCCTAACGATATTTGAAAGATTGTTTCTGAGTTCACAGAACACGCCACCTAGGATCGACTGAGTCGAATCCTTTGAACGACTAGAGTTCGGGCATGCCTCGCTCATATAAAAGCGGTCCTCGATTGTGCTCTACGCAAGGCAGCAATCGATCAGGTCAGCGGACGCAGATGGCTCGGTTACACACGACGTTTTTCAGTCCCATCTATCCGAGGCAGGGCAGGCAGTCGGCCAACGTCGGCCTCCCGGAGGATAAACAGTGGATGAAGCCGGGACGGGTGATAATTCCAGATACGGCGGGCAAAAGCCTCTACGTACGCCCATCTTAATGACCGCGTTACAGAAAGACAGGGCAAACAGATTATTTGCACGGGCTCACCGACATCCGTTGGAGCCAAAACAAAGGCAGACTCATTGCTCGTTTCGGTTACTCGGAGTAATCTGCGAATCACCTAACCGAATTCCCGGAAAAAAATCGATGCGGATCTCATTCGATCTAATTAAAGCGCTAAGATTACTTCCGAGATTCGACTGAATACGTTAGAATGGTGCGTCGCATGTTGCCGTCAAGACATTTGAGAACTTCGTCCAGAGGCTGCGAAAAACGACTTCCTTCGCACTGTGCCAAGAAATTCAGTGCACGAATCCAGGATCGTGACCCCCCGATGTTTTCCGGGACAAATCAATGACTCACTGATTCTGGCCGTTCATCTGAAGTGTGCATGACTCGACGCACTACGCTGATAAGTCCAAGATGTCCTCCGACGGACTGCCTGGATGCTGCGCAGCTCAATTATTCTAGACAGACCCCTTTGAGGGTACTCATCATGGATACCGATAGAGTCGGGAAGTTTGAGGAGCTCTCATCTCCGTTCATCTTCGCATCGAGAAATCGAATAATGCCCTCAGATAGACAAATGACAGGATTTTCCGTGAACAAGTCTAGCTTATCGACCGTCTGCGGACCATTTCTCCCAGCACCGAGAAAAAAACTGAGCAACAATGGCGTGAAGCACTTGAAGGTCTTCCAGAAAAGCACGAGAAAGTTCCGAACTTCCAGCAGCCGAGTATCAGGCTTGATATGGGATTTGCTTCTAAGATAATCGATGAGAAGCACAAAATCAGCTGCGCAAGGTGAGCTAGAGCCCGTTCCCTTCTTGCAGATCGGCTTACCGGATGGCGTTTTCGATCCGAATCCGTTTGCTTTGAACTGTTTCAGTGACTAGACAGTCAGCTGGCTTCACGTTTTGCCCGACGGATCGAACACTCTGTTGACTTCTTCTCAAAATCATTATTAAAGTAGCAGCTCGCGCTCTCCGGCACAGCGCGCTCCGAAGTGTACTACTGCCGCTAATCGGACTCTGGATGATGTGCAACTCTCGCGGAACACAAACTTTACAAGTGTGGCCCGTGCTTCTGTTTGTAGACATCCAGCACTCCCTTAATGGGAGAGGGAGGGACGTGAGAGTGGGGAATTTCCTTCGAAAGAGTGGCGGGATCCTCACCGAGGCGATTCGGAGTCAAATGATAAGGGAGTATCTCTGAGTCAGATTTTGAGCTCGGGTCTCGGGTCTCAGGTCTCGATCAGGATGTCTGATTCAATCGAACACGAGAATCCTCAGAATGTCGGGGAACTCTCGTGAATCCAGTCAGATTGAATCACCGCGGAGACTGTTCGCTGCGTAATTCATCGAATTTCTCGGGTACATCTCAGATACGAGTCCGAGGAATCGAGAAACCAGGTTTTCAGCAACTCAAGCGCCGGAGCTCACAAAAACGACACGGAGAGGAGAAAATATGTACCAACAATCATTATTGAAATCGACTCAATCTCCGCGGACTGCGCTCGATCCAGACCGATCCGTGGACCTGCGGCTCCTCTCGCTGCGACCAATTCATGTCCGACTCTCAGACTCGGCGGACTCGAATGCACCGCTGACGTATTCCAGGCTTGTAACATCTCGGATTCCGCCGGTTTGCTCCTTAGGAACGAGGATTTATCCGAGGGGAAATGATAAATCCCAAATTATTAGCGAGGGGTCTATCTCCGTCAGCTAGCTGTTGTCGGAATGACTTCACGTTTCCCTACCATTACTCCCTCGAAGGTGGTTGCTCGATCTTTTGCATATATCCGCAATAGTCGATCAAAGTATGGGCGTTCTCGCCGCAGGCTTGACATTGGTATGAGAACCAACTTCCTCTCCTTGGAGTTTTTATTTAGTACCCTGGAAACGTTTTCGAAGTAGCGAAAGGATCTCGCTTCGGCCTCACACTCTCGAAGACTCAAAATAACTCCGGGGTCTTCGAGTCCGAAATACTGCTCGAAAATACGGGGCATGTTGCCAAGACGCATGCCAAGTCCTGATGAACAAAGAAAGAGGCTCCGACTCTGGGGGGGTATCTCCAGCCTAGCTCGACTTACGGGGATGCTCACCTATTCACACCTTTTTCGGACATGTCGGAGATGTTTCTACCATCTACCTTGATTACGAAATCCCCGAAGTATATGCCGTCCGCGAAGGTCGGGTCCACGTACCAAATGCTGAACAATTGAACAAAAGTGTTTTTGACCTCATTGAAGAAGCCACATGGTCGCACCTCGATTCTCCTCGTCTTCTCCGCGGGCAGGACTCGATTGATCCTGGAAACTCGATAATATTCCGAGTTTTCGATCGGATGTAGAAGAGATTCCCCTTCAAGGCCTCTCAGCGTGGAACTCAAGTCGACTGACTACGACTCACAATCCTTTCTCGAAAACGGGTAGAGTGACCGATTTCGGGGGATAGAGATTCGCGACGCTGCTGAAGTCCTTCCGTGTTTTGCACAGGCGATACGGCGACGACGTCATCACCGTGATATAGACGATATCGGTGCAAAACATGAGTTTCCCTTCGACTTCTATCCGTGTCTGATTAACCACAGGAGATCCATTTATTTCCAGCAGGATATCGCCCACGACCAAGCCGCAATTCTTCAGCAATAGAGAGACATCGAGATGTTATTATCAGGGTGGAAATACGAAGCCTGGCTGTGACCCGATGAAGATTCGGACTGGGGAGATGAGACGAGAACACCTACCGCAGCGCTCCCGGTGAGCTTTCTCACGAAATAATAAGTCCGGCCATCTTCACCATGCGTTGAACCGATTTTGACTCCGACCGGTGCCACGGCCGCCAGGCCGATACCTTTGGCAACTGCGATTTCCAATTTCTCCATTTCGTCCGTTGTTTCCGAACCCACCACCTCGGCGAAACTCCTCTGTGAATCCACGAATTCTTTCAACAGTCCCGTCTTGCAGCCTTCCCATTGACCGGCCGACGCCGGTTTCTCGATGACTTTCCGGAGAAACTTCGAGACGTACGTACTCAGCGGCAGCATTATATTTGTTTTCTCTGTAAGTAGGGGAATGATGTTTCGGTGAGATCCGACGTTTGCTGCAGGTTTCGGACGCAGAAGAGAACCTGAGCGGGAAGGTCGATGAAGTCCGACCTTTCAGAGATGAGAGTCCCACCAAATTTTGTTTCTTCAATTTTTTTGAGCATTGAACCGAGAATTCGCCTTGCTCATTGCGTGACGCTCTTTGCTTGAAGATTTTTGTGATCATCAAGTGAGAACTGTTCGGGGTGTCCCATTTCACACCCACCAGGAAGGGGCTTGTGAGGATCGCCTCGTAGTCAGATGATCCCAAGCGTTTGGCTGGATCTTTCTCGAGCAGGCCGTAAATCATCCCCGTGAGCAAGTTGGTCTCACTCCACAGAGATTCCTACGAAGGAGTGAAAATTGCAGATGAGCGCCCCCCGACTGACGTACTCCCTAATCACGGAATTCCGGCGGTGCTCACGACGGGGAACTCCATGAGGGGTTTAGACAGATGAGGGGCTCACGTCTTTGCACATTTTGACTCCCCGGGAGAGTTTGGGAAATGTGACCGGCCTCGTGGTGATGAGTCTCTTGAGTTCGGCCTCGTCGTCAGCTCGAAAGGGCAGCGTGCCAGCGTGCATCTTGAATAGCACGATTCCTACGGACCACCAATCGGCCGCGCGACCGTAAGCCTGTTGGTCGATGACCTCGGGTGCCATAAACGGTGGAGTTCCGGCTTTTTCACCGTCATCGAACTCCAACGATGTGTTTTTGAAAAAGTTCCTGAGAAGGAGCAGAGCACTGAGTATTCTCAACCTTCTGTTTTCTACTGATCGGAGACAGAGGTTTGAATTGAGGGCACATCTCACGTTATTCGAGTATTCGGGAAATGCCCTCGACAGATTCTGCTCGTCTCGAAATCGATCAGTTTTATTTTCCCATCAATGAGGACCATCACATTGCTAGGCTTGAGATCTCGATAAATGAAACCGCTGTAGTGAATGTGCATCAAGCCCGCCACAATCTGTCCGAAGAACATCCGTGAGAGGCTCGGCGGGAGTGCCCGGCTCAAATTGACAACTCCATAGGGAAGATTAGGGAGTTATTAGGCCTTACGCCACGAAGCATGATTCGGTTCACGTTGCATCGATGTGAGCTTGTTTGACGCGGTCCGAGAAAAACGGGGAGTAAATAATCCTCACCATTTTCGAGGGTGACTCCCCTGATGTACTCCATGGCAGCGATTGACATCTCACTCGTTTCAAAACAGCAGAAATAATTCACGACGAGGGGGTGATTAGTTACTGCAGCCACGACGCGATCAGCCGTGGAGTGCCGTAGGAAAGCAAAACTTTTCATTGGAACGAGCTTCAATACACAAATTATGTCTCCCGGAGTATACTTGGCTTTATAAATAACGCCGAAACCACCGGCACCCAAGAGCCTCTCCTGACTAAAGTTATCGATAGCAGGGCAGATATTCACGTCTGGGAGTTTTTGTTCGCGTTTCCTGTCGCAATGTTTCTCCATCAAAGCGTTACCTAGCCTCTGGAAATCTGTAGGCGGGCTGTCGTTGAGATGAGCGATCTGCACAGCGAACTCCGAGAGTATAACCTTCGAGTCGATGGGAGATATGTTGAATATGATATGATATGAATATACTGGATGATGAGCGGCTCAGACGTGAGAATGTATCGTCGCAACAATGCCTACCGAAATAGTCTTGTAGACTTTTCCGTACTCATAGCCAGCTTCGAGCGAACGATCTTGGATGAACGTGTGCAAATCCCACAAGGAATGGAAGAGCTCATCAATGAACAGCTGGGAGAATGTCTGGGTTTGAATCTTGTGCTGAAGATCCAATAACCACAAACCAGCTTGTTGATACGCATAATGCACCAGAGGAGTATGCTTCTGATTGACTGCGTAATGGCGTTCCATCCACGTCTCGCTCAGATGGAAAACACTGCGAGGTATTCGCGGGAATATTCTGCATAACTCCTTGGGTACGTCGACAGGAAATGTCTCATTTTTCCCATTATCGTTAGTTCGGTAGTCTTTCCTGGAAACAAATTGGGAATCTATGTCCATCTTCTCCGATAAGATACCCGAAACTACCGCCGAGACTGTTCGCCGACGAAAGTTCGCATGGATGCCTCGACTCACAGCGCCAGATCTTCAGCCGCCATAAGGCTTCGTTGTTGATGGCTCCGAGCGCATAGATCCGTCCGGTAAGTTGGCCGCCAAGGATATCACGCGGTGAGTCTCCACGAAGCTCAATGACTGGCTCTTGAGGACAGGACGGACAAGCCTCGTCAGAATATCCAAAAGCGAGACAATCACTTTCTGTGCAGGTCTGTCGATGCACTCCGGGATGTCCGCTTGCACCAGAAGTCTCGATCTAGTGCTACCTGCGTAGTAGCAGTTTGCTCCGAGACCCTCCGAAGCACCGAGGCCCTTGAAAGCGCGCTCTTGTCGCTTAGGCTTCGTCGATCCGTGGTATGCGGAGCGTCTTCATGCTTTTCTCATCCCACACACGACAGTTTATCATCCTCGGGATAATACTTGCGGCGTCAAGTTTTTCGGACTGATTCCTTTAATGGCCTTGAGCTGCTCGATCTGAGCTCGGACTTGCTCTGGCGGATGCCTCCTAGTGATAACGCAGCTGATAAAGGGTTTCCGGGTTGATAGTCCGAGACCGACGGGTGGTCGAGTGGTTAGCGCGTTTGTCACTTCTCGTGCAAACGTGCATAGCCGCAACGACGCCGCTCGCGCGGGAGGCGGTGTGGGTTCGATCCCTGCCGCCGGAAAAATATGCAGGTACTCGGCCTTGATCCTCCTGGGTACATTTGCTCTATGGATCCGTCCTCGGAAGCAATGTGAATAACAGTACCCGGGACGTTAAACCTTGGCTGTGTGGATCAGCCCGAAAAAGTTTTGGGTTGATAGTCCGAAAGAAAGATGCTCTCGGATTTCGGGAAAAGCACGCTTCCCGGTCTCGTAGGCGAGGAATCCATCCTCCGCATCGACATTTCCCTCTCCGAATCGAGACTTCTACTTATAAACAAAATGAGGGCCGTCTGTGTCCCGGAAATACGCTCGAGAATTACGACGTTCCTGCCGGGAGAGCACGGCATCGCTGTAGATGTCATCGTGAGACACGAAGTTATTCTCCGAAGGCTGGCCTAGCATCAATTCCAAATAATTATCTCGTGAGCTGACGCACAGCTCGGGTGTTCACCTGCATTGCATCTGAAGCTCAATGATGGCAGATCCATGGATCTTGTGCTGATGAGGACTTGCGTTTAGGAGCTTCGCCGGATCTCTCACATATCGGCGGGGATCGGGGTGTCGTGAATCAGTCTGTCGGACGAGGATTCCTAATCATTCTGGGGTGGGGGGCTCTCGGAAATGGATATTTTCAAGCCCAGAAGCTCCGGAAACTTCAAGGTCTGATGTGGGCCGGAGAGATGTTGGCCGCTGATCGCTGATGATGGCAATATCTCCCAGAGAGCACACCTGAGCGCATACGATCAAGTCGCGCTGAATTCTCGAGCCCAGACGGAGATCAGAAACGCTCGTATTAACTCATCAGAGATCAACCACCCCCCGCTCAGACAGGTGCACATGGCATGCGCGGAGATTCTCCGAGCAGCAAAACGGCTTGTTAGCCAGATCCGATATACGGGAATTCTCTTTACAAGCATCCCTGATGGTCAGAGTCGCGGAATCATCTCGCAAGCCTAGTTTACTCGCCTGATTCCCTCTGAAGAGGACGCTCGGCGATAACTTTCTGATTCTACGGGACAGACGCCTCTGCATAACCAACTGTACAACACTCGAGGGAGCACTTGAGACAGCTGCTCACAAAATCGGAATGGAAGAATGAATTATTCTCCGAAACTTAGCTGTTTTTAGCGCTCAGTCCTGTTTGATCAACTGCTTCCCGGTGCAATGAGTGAACTCGATGACGCTGTCCCAGACGGTGAAGCGAACGCTAAACTACCCTGAAGTTTTCCCCTATCCACAAAAGCATCTGACCGGCAGACAAACTTCAAAACTTCTCTAGCAATCCTCGATCTCCGTCTCAAAGTTGCGGTGAGGTCGCCGGGAATTTGAGGCGATTCGTGGTAATTGAGATCTCATTTCGGATAATGATTACAATCAACTCTAGATCGATGAGGATAACTCTCAGCGAGTTTCTCCGTCGGAGAGCTGAAGACTTCTGCCTCGATGCGCCGAGCTGAGCATCAGCAGCTCAAGCCGGCCTTGTGCTGGAGCGTCACATGACCGCCATCATCAAGCGCAGACCATGAGCACAGCGTGTATTCGGAAATATGCGAGCCGCCTCGACGGATGCTCGAAATCGCTCACTTGTAGAAATTGGAATGCTCTCGGTCTAATTGAATTTCCCGGAAGGAGAAGCTCGAGATATTCCAGATGAAAAAATGGGACGCGGGCCGGACATTTCAGCTGAATATACTCCCATGATATCCGTCCCGTTTCCCGGAGGCTACCGTCGTCCTTCCCGACAGGTGATGACACAGATACACTCTGGAACATCCATTCGAATAGAACTGAGGCTCGGCACGAGAACTTTTCTGACTGTTTTGCCCTCGATGACCACGACACATCCCTATCAAGGACCAGAGATGGTTCCAAGCTCACATCGCAATCGCATATGGATTATCGAGAGGTATCTCTCCCAAGTCAGTCTAGTGGAACGAAAACGAATGCAAGTTGTTCTTCATAGCAGTCGAGTCATGGCTTTAAGTTCTTTATTCCCGCCACTCGCATCAACCTGACTCCACAGTTCTCCGTCATCCGATTCCACGACCTCAAATCTCCTCGTTGCCGAGAAACATGTCGAGCTCATTTGATCTTGTGATATATTTGAGCCGACTAAACAGAAAAGAAAGCATCCGGACAAACTAGTTGCTGGACTCAAGAAGACTTGTAGTCGGCTTCTGTACCTAAATTCGGTTTTACAGTCATTCCATTGTTCTCGAAGTAGACAAGCCATTTTCTTAAGTCACAGGCTAGAATCAACGGACATATCGTTCAGCACTGAACACTTGAGGGTAGCGTAGTCAGTATTCTCTTCTCAGCGAGGAAGTAGCCGTCATTTCCCTCCAGGCTACATGAGAAGGGGAACATGTTCCCCGCCTCAGAGGGTCAATGGTTGCATGTTTTGCGGTGATGATCGCGATCGTTGAGGCTTCTCTATCAGAACAACACAATATACAGTAAATAAAGAAGACCGACCACGGAGGCAGAACGTACTCGGAATGACTTCGCCTAAAAACTAATTGTAATTCCGACAACTCACAAAGCCCTACTTTCACAAAACCATCAACAGCCTCTTCGGCCACAGAGAGAGACTCTGGGCCGGAAGTCTACGTTTTGATATTATACAAACACAACAGTCTAGCATCGGAGGAGCAGAAACAATTCCACAGAGGAGCTTTCCGAGTGTTTCCTGTCATGTGCTGCCTCAGTGAAGATTCTTTTCGATTTGAATGCTGTTCCTCGAGTCATCGTAGATGCAATGCGGGGCACCTCTGCAGAGGTGAAGGATGCTATAATCTCGCTCCGCAGCACGCTCCCGATCCGAGACCCTCCATCCGTACCAAGATGCGACGACGGAGGTATTCATGTGCTCCCCGCCATCCGAAGCGATTTCGGTATCCACGAACGCGTCGGAATGCAGGCATATCGCTCCTCCACACACAAGAAAAACACAATCTCACAAATATGTCGTTCGCTAAGGATACGTTCAACAGATGTACGCCGGTAAAGTCCCGGCGACGGTGCTCCAACAATCCTGCGCGCTCCGCCAGTTTGAGACGTCAACTCAAGATCGAAGCCAGGAACGAATTCGCATGGCGACGTCCCCGACCAACTATCACCTTCACTCGGAAATTTTCGCTGAGCTATAACTCGAACATTTGCTCGTGCTCCCGTCGGTGCTTTTGCAAAGATGTTTTGACCTTCCTGCCTGAAGTGACCACGGTGGTTTTTGGTGCGAAGTCCACTTGATTCGACGAATAACCCCGTCCGTTCGTGAGGTCGCCTAACGACGAGTAGCCTCCGTTTTGATAGCTAACTGAATCCAGAGTCGGACTGAGGGTTAGACCTGGCACTGACGGCGGGCAATCGCTATTGTATCCGAAGCTGCTATCGTAGTTGCTTGCATCACGGTGGTCGTCGTCAGTCAGATTTAACTCCTTAATCTGGCTTTTGGTTTTCTTGATCGAAAAGTCAATCCGTCCGAGGAAGTCCCGTATGTTCTCGTCTTCGTCCGCGGTGTCCACAACCCCAACTGTATCCAACGAGACGGTCCGCTGGGGCGATGGCGATGCCTGACGAGGTAGAGACGTTGCTTCTCCATTCGTAGGACTGGAGGGCACAGGGATATCGAGAAACTCACGGAGGAACAAAGAGTCCGTAGTCCACAGACGGTTCTCCCGTTTCACTTCTTCCATTGTGACTCCATATTTGAGCGCGATTCCTTGCAGGGTATCGCCCCTCTGAACTTGGTGTTTCACTATGCGGATGTTCGCTCTCGGAGCCATGTGAGATCCTCGACTGCCACAGCTGCCGTAACTTCGGAGCGCTCTGTGACCATTGGAATGGGCTGTCAACCTAGATTTCGACGCCAAGTAGATCCTTTCCCCGTCCTCCTCGAGCATTGTTCAGGCCTGTAGGAACTTCCGAGCACGCGGACGATCTGCTGGCGCTCCGCAGTCACCACTGAGACTTTGACGAAATGAGCTCAACGCTTGTGGCTTTTCATATCTTCTACTCCTCCACCACCAACAACACACTGCTGATAGGGGGGCTGCTGCGGCTGTTGTGGCGAGAACGACACCCGTCGTCAGCTGAGGGGAGAGGGCAGCAACTGAGCTTTTCAATCGAAACGAGTTTTCAGAAGAGGCTAATTCCAAGAGTAGATTCAGTTTTCGGAGTTTTCCGAGGACTCATGCCGATCACCAGTTTTACTCGGTAGAATTCGCGAAGGTGATCTCGCGAAATCCACGGTCGCTCAACGTGAGGGTGTCGCATCGGCCGAGCAACGAGGCGACACAGAACCGCTTCAACAGCTGATCGCTGGGAACCGTCTCCGCGTATTGAACCGAAACCGCGCGGAAATCTCAAACTAATCACTCGGCGGGAAGATCGTCCTGAGTGTCCGTAGGCGGAGAGTTAATCCGACGGGATTCCCACACCGGACTTCAAGTGCGAGCGTAGAGAAGCCGAACGCGTCATCGAGTTACAAGTGTTCGGCACGGCTCTCGAAGCCAGTAATAAAGTCGACCTGGGTCGAAAAAAGAACAAATCAAGTGAAACTTTAGTGAGGTTCGTGATGGCCGAGTCCACAGAAAAACTCAACGGAAGAGTTGAGAACAAGAACGGTCCGACCGAAGCGCCCGTCTCCACCCAGGCCGCGACCACAACCAAGAGCCTGCTAGACGCGGCATCAGGCCGCCTCAGGGTGAGTTTTGATCGACATCCTGGAATCCTGAGGACGGTTTCTCAGGAGTCTCAGAACTGCGAGCTTCCACCTAAATTTGTGCGAACGCTGACTCGGTCGAGCGTGATCATTCGGATAGTCATATAGCTTCGGTATCAATATGTTTTCGCGTGGAAACCACGTGCAGCCGGCGGAGTTCTATTAATAGAATCGTTCCGAAACGAGGAGCAATGCACTTTCGATCACCAACTAGCTGTCGTCCTCATTTCGGCACCAGGATCATCCTCGAATGCTGTCAGAATCTATCGAGACAAACGACCACCATTGTTTGTGGCGGAGGCAGCCTCCGCAGCTGTGTTAATGTCAGAGGAAGGAATTTGTTCGCGAGGAAACACGTATTTTCCAGCCGACGTCTGGGTGGCCGTTGCCTCGCGGATATTTCGGACTCCCTTACGGCCGCGCATGAATATCCGCATGTTAAGGGTACGCTCAGAGGTTTCATCATCGATTGCGGCAAAACGGATCATGCCTAATTTCTGCCCAGCGAGCGAAGGCATTACACCATTCGGCTCGAAGATGATTCTTCCGAGTCCCTCTACACTGACTGCGTTTCTTCAAGTCATGAGATGGCTTATGACGATTTCAAACAATCCAAGCGCCTCATCTCGTTCACTGTCCGCGAACAGACGATGCAGATCATTAGACACTGAGAATCGTTCCAATTAATTCCTGTCTGCAATCACCTTTCGATTCATTGCGGACTTCTTCGTCCATTCGCGATCTTTGAATGAATCAGACCGAGCCTCCCAGCGACCGGCGGACAGACAGGCCGTTAATCCAATATCGAAACTGTTAGAAATATGGACGGAAATAACGTTTGCTGCCGCTGCAAATGTAGTCGGTTGCTGGGAGTCAAGGATCAGCAGCTGATTTGACCCTATGCGAAGGTTTTTGTCCGCGATTTTGCACCGTCGAAGCCACAACGCCGGCGTGACCGCATCAGGGGTATCAGTCTCTTAAAGAAGATTGTGGGACCGTCCCGGTTTAGTTGCTGCGAGCTGTTCGTTCGTCGATCGTCCGCAAGCTCACCGCCGAAATGTTTGACACCCACTCAGACGAGAAACGGGGTTATTGTTCGAGGAATGTGTATGCTCCCGAAATATACCGCAAATATTCGTTGAGTTTGAAAAGGTCTACATAGATCGTTGTCGGTTATCGCGAATATGGTTCATGAAAGTCTCACCCGGCAAGTCTGCTCGACTCGGCGAATTTCTCATAGTTTCGCCGGGGGATTGATTCTTCAGAAAAAAATGCAGAGAGTCCATGAATTCCTTCAGGGTCACACTCGTGCCAAGTCAGAACCGGAGGGGACGTCCGAATATGATCTTATCATGCAATGAGATTGAGTATCTTCGAGTCTTCTGTTGTTCTCCTTCTGAGAATTCTTCGACGATAGCGAGCGGACGTTCATATGACAAATCTCTCGAGTAGAATAGTACGCTCGACTTCTCGATAGAAATCAGAATCTCTTTCTGCGAGAAAGATATCTCCTCCTGATCCTCAGCTGGAGGAATAGAGCTCGAATTTTCACGCTCTCCCTTTCCCCTCATCAGATCTCGGCATTCATCCCCTTGAGTTTTGTGTGACCCTGCGGTTTTCTTGATACTTCAAGTTCGGGAACCTTCCTCGGCCGCGCATGTCGGTATCACCTGTAAACATGAGCGTCTACTCGAATAACATGGGGCCGAATTCTTCTACACTCGTTTTTTCTAGTGCCGACACATTGCTAGCGGATCCTCCCTCTCCGCTGTATCTCCTATCGCAGCAAGCGCCCGATAAGAATGAATTCGTTCGTAAGGAGTTTTCACTCTGTGCGGTTCGGTGCACGTTCGCTGGTGCGCTCGACTGCCTGTCAGACTATGCGCATTCGATTACACGGAACACCGAGAGAGGCTGAGAGAAAACAGGGGCGGACATATGAATATACGAGAGCTCGAACTCGTACAGGAAAACCGAGCCTCCGAAGATGCTGCTTTCGCCGTGCTGTATTCCACATAAGATGCATAGGGCTTCTCTTGAAACTGTACGCCGAATTCCGAACTCCTAGCTCGAAACCCTCGAGGATTCTTCCCCGCTCGCGTGAAAGGGCTCTGTCATTCGAGGAGGGACTGGACTCGTGGACGCTCATAGAAGCCCTTGCCGAATTCGACCTCCTCCCCTCGCTCCTCCTCCCTCCTCCCCCTTGTAAGATCGAAATCGAAAATTGATGAGTCGGGCCTGGGCTTTCGGGCACTAAAAAACCCGAGAAAAGGCAGGCTAAAACGCATCGGGAATGGACGGAAAAGGCACTATAAACGAGGAAAAAGGCACTGAAAATCATCGGAAAACATTGGTGATGCTCGGAATAATGTCGAATTTCTGATTCGAATGTACCTCTCATAGGGGGATTTGAGCATTACAATCAGCGATGGCATGGTATCTCGACCTTTCGGTGGTAAGGCCGTGTCGATGATCGGAGGGCTTCATGACGAGAAAATGAGCGCCCCTCATTCCCGCTGACCAATGGAGCGTATTCGGAACATGAGAGCTCCAGCAAGTCTTCCGACCTTCCACTTGCAGATTTTCAAATTTTCAATCAGATCTTCTGGTACCTATCAAGATTCTGCAGTGATCTCTCGGAAGTCCGTGGGCCGAGACTCAAACTCAAATTGCGACGACATGGTGGAGCTATGTGCAGAATCGAATTCGTGGCGGAGGAAATTCACGGGCGACACAGGCTCGGGGATCGATTACATGATACTGAGGAAAGCTTCGGTCCGATACGTAGTCGGACTATGAGAGCAAATGTAGCTTTCTCCGCTTACCAGCTTGGAGTCTTGCCCGAAAAAACCCTGCCAAGCAACATTCGAACTTGACGTCAGGGTGGAAAGGGCAAAATGCCTCGAAAAAACTTAGAAAAGGCGAAATGTCGCCAAAAATTTGTATGAGGCAAGAAGAGGCATTTATGGGATTCTGCTTGAAGATCTAGGCTCTATTGATGAATAATGATGGAAATTGCGAGTATCGATCAGAAGCATAACGGACGGATGTCTGCTTCAAACCAGCCTTACCATTGAAAATATAGCAGCGCATCGCCGGCGCTAGGGAGACCTTCGCGCTCAAGTTTTATCCCGCAGCCTCGAGCTCTTTATTGTTGATGCCAACCGCTACAGCTGCGAGGAATCGAAACCAAAACGACTTTTCCTGTTTGTTTTCTCTACCGACGATCGCGTGATCAGCTCTTCCTTTCCGTTCAACTTCCTCTGATGCTTGCTGCACAGAGATTCGGTGTTTGCCCTCGAAAAATCGGGCATCCGAAGGGCTTCTCGAATGACAGAATTGGAGGATCCTGCTCAGCCCGCTACTCTCCTTCAACAGGTCGAATGCTCCCGCGGCTAATCGCTCGTGCGAGAACTTCTGGGAGATCGTTGGGGAGAGATTCCGGTGAACTTGCGGACAAACTCATTTAGGACGCCGCGTTTCACTACCGGTGGAAGGGTATGGGCCGAGCGCCATAAATAAACGGGACCTAGGCCATTCTGCCAAGCGAATAGAAAAGCTGCAGCCCCGAAGCGGAGGACTTTCCGGGAAACGAGTGGAATTACTCCTATTCCGACTCTTCTGGAACCTGCCGTGTGCCCCGGGTCCTATCGAATACAGTCCGAGTCAAGAGTTCTAGAGGGAGATAGCGATTCACCCGATGTTGTTGGGAGCTGACAACTTCTTCGAGTTGCTCCGGGACGCTACTTGTATAAAACACGTCCGGGATCAGCCTCAGCGACTCTCCACAGAGACCGCGTTTGGATTCGGAGATCGACTTCGGGGATTCCTTCACGACATCGATTGCCGACGGGGGAAGTTTTTTCGTTTCTTTCGAACTATTATTGCTCTGACACGCTCGGATTACTCGCTTTTCACCTTCTTGTATAAGGTATGTAGGCGGGAGATTCCGCAGGAATTCCACGGAGACGTCCTCTCAGTAACATGATAAGGAACGGCCGCTTCCTCGATTCGATGCCCGGATTGTTCGAGATTTCATCGACAGGCGCCATCGTTCTCCTCTATGGCCCGGTCTCGGAAGATGGTAATGACGTCTTCTCACGATCACCTGACAGGCTAATCGTCCGCCGGAAGCTGCGGAATGGGTAGTCGGATAAGGAACCCAGCGACCGGAGCGGC